TATTCTCGTTTGGAAATTATATATCACATCTACATATTCTGAAATTCTCATGGTAGCAGCTACTATTGCACGGCCGTAAGCGCGATTTGAAATTTATCAAAATTTACCGGGAGCACCGGTACATTTTTATATTCAATTTTTCTCAAAAGCAGAAGTGTTTTAGGGGCAACATTTTTTAGTGCTTATAAAACATCCACAGGGGCATCCAAATATATCTAAATTGTAAAGATTCATTATCCACCCAATTTTCAAAATTTCTCAAAACTTTGTATTACCTTTAAAGTAAAAATTTGCATGGATCACTGGATTTGTCATATGCTAAGAATTGTTTAACTATCAAACAGTAACTCAGTTCATCTTGCCTTCCTGTTTTTAAAAAGGACTTGACTTTGAAGATGCCAATTTGATGATGCAGATTTACGTCAACATGCATTGATGGTCCTATCTACAGGGTTTACATTATTCTACCACCAAACAGTAAATGCAATGCATTATGTGCATTTAATATGTAGCGTATAATTGTGATTAGAATGCTTTCACATTCATGTTGACTACAGGATACTTAATTTTTCAACAGAAAGCAATCATCTTGCAACCATTTGCTGCTAATATATCCTCTATTCAGAGTCGGAAAGACGGTAGCTCATATACGTTACCATGGTTAACGCCTTTCTGGCTCTGAATGGATTTTGCAATGAGACTATTGCCTCGTAGACACTTGCACGCATTTTGGTCCAGCACTGCCCCGCTCTATAGCGTGCCAATGTGTGCTAATTAGTGGCACGCAGTCCGTTTTGGGGGGGGTCACGTCCAATTTACGAATAGTTCATGCAATGCATAACCACCATGACACGCATTCGTAGACTATGCTCATGGCATGTGAAAACTGCGCGGGAAGTATATGCAGCAAATGCGTGGGAAGCATGCGCAGCCAATGCGCAAATTGTGAGCAAATTAGTCGTTTACTAGTCGTGAACAGGCCAATGAGCACGCATGTTGCCAAACAAAATTGTGCCAAAATTTTGAAATTTCTGTCACACATTTCGCGTACGGCCCGCATCCTCCCGCACGCTACCACAAATACTTCCCGCATTGGCATGCAAGAGTATGTGTCTATGCGCAAACTATGTGCAAACCAAAATGCAGGCAAGTGTCGACGAGGCATATGTTCACACCAGAAGCTCTGTTCAGACATGAAGCAGTTAAGCCATCTCAAGAAAAGTGCTCCAACAAAATAAATCTATTTTACACATAAGTGTATGGCAAGCAGGAGTTTGATAGAAGTAGAACCTGTAACACCTCATTCCTCACACCTGCAGCAAGTTTGTCAGTTTGTTTGTCTTTCTTTGTTCATTTGTTTTGGGTATTGATCTCCCTGTACCACAATGCATTTCTAATGGGATAGTTCAACCGATGGATTCATGATTATTCATGTTTCCAGTGTTAACGTAATTTGTACAGGTGTTTGAAGGGCCATCATGTTGTAATCAAGACTGGCAATGGGTGATTTTGCAATGCTTTCGTGTCGCACAAAGCAAACCTGAAGTCAATTGATGCCTTTTTCTTGTATGTGCAAATCGGCACACGTGGCAAACAAGCAACTGTGCCAATCTGCACCTGCGACAAATGAAAGGTTAAGACATGTCTGAACAAGGCTGTGCTGAAATTGGAAGCATAAGAACATGGCTGTTTTGCTGAATCCATGTCATTGATGTTACAGTTCCATAGGCAAGTCCATTTATTGCATAAAACGAAAGGTATTTTTTACACTATATGAACAAATGTGGTGCTATTCATTGTGAACAATTATCTTGTTATAGCAATGTGTTTATCCTGTTATCAGCTCTCTGGTGCTATAACATGTAGGCTTTGGCAGGGAGTTCATGTTTTACTTTCTTAATTTGAACTATTATACCCTTGTTCTAATTGTACTAGCCAATACATGTTGGTCTTAAAGTGTCCTTCTCTTTAAGTACTGAATTAAATGGCTGTAATTCACTTTTCTTATCAGGAACATTATTTTCTTTCATTGAATGTATTTGTCATGAATTATGTTTACTCTTGATTTCAATTTTGAAAAGTGCTATTTATCCTATCTTTTTTCATTGTATTTTTTTTCTTCCATATTGCCATATTTGTTTAGCTATTTACAGCTCCCATTGTCAGGGAGAAAATTATTTGTATTAAGAGGTATTTTTCACATATATGATTATAATTTTGTTAGTATTCCGGAATTGTAGCAGTTGATCTTGGCATGTGTTTCATCATTCCTTGTTAGTATGTGTTATGAATTTGTGTACTTTTGATTTTTAAATCATTAATGTTTCCCCATTTGCAAGTTTCACAAATATTACATTAATCCATAAAAAAGTACGATTTTTTGCGAGTACTATCTTGCTATGAATTTGTGAAAGAATTTTCCTATTTTTTTTTTAATTCAGTGATTGAATGTTACCACCTTTACACAACAGGGTAGAACAATTTTGACATTATCATTGTTGAAACTAGACCTGCCCGCTTTAACCTATTATATTGATTGATGTTTACCTTTTAGTACATTTAGTATAAATTGCAATTACTTTAACAATATTGTGTGGCATTAATAGTGAGTTTGCACTCCCAATACTAACAGAAAGTATAGTTTTGTTTGTTCCTTGGGATGTGCAGAGTACACTGTAGGTGAATGTGTGTGAAAGAATTACTTCTATTGTTTATTATTTGTTATCATCCCTGGGATAGTAAAATGAGTGGCTTCGCATTGTAATACAGAAACCTGTCTTTATCTGTATTCCTTATTGTTATTTGTGCTGTCATCCATAATGTACATTGTTATTCGTGCAGTCATCCAAAACTGCACCCATACAATAACTGATTGTACTGAAGTTGTTGATTTTTCTGAATTACTTTAGGAATTTTTAATGATTTTGGTTAGTTCATTTAGTTGAATCAGTTCCAACTGATTGTTTACATTGTTGCCATAACACTAGTGTCGTATATGGAGAACCCATTCTATATTATTGGTAACGGAGTAATATGCAATAAGATTGATTCATTTAACAATAGTGCTGATATTTATTCCTTACTTTCTCTATCTTTTCTTTTTGTCGCTCTCTCCTTTTCCTCATCCTACATCACTGGCTTCATCATCTTTCTTTATCTTCCTTTTTTGCTGTCTTGCTCTTTAATGATTACAACCTCATAATTATTAAACTTCTTTGTTGTTCTTCTTCTTCTGCCAAGGGAGTCACAATATCCTCTCATACTTACATTTCTATCTTCAATCTCTCAATCTCTTTCTTACCTCCTTGTTTCTGTTTGCTTTTCTGTACTCATGGCTTTTATTTATTAAAAAACGCCTTGTTCATTAAGTAGATGCAAAGATATTCACTTTCATCCTTTCCCCCTCTCTCCCTTTTTTTCTTTCTCTCTCTCTCTGTCTCTTGTATCTCTACTCCCTCTCCCTGTATCTCTCTCCCTCTCTATCTCTCTTTCTCTTGATGATGCATTGCCATTTTCAACGTTGTATAATGTCCTCCGAGTTAAAGTTAAGCATACATCTGTTGATTTGATATTCATGTTCTTGGCATTTCCAGATGTATTGACATATTTACACTACCGGTAGTTATTTTGTAGAAATTTCTTTTGGGGGTTTGCATCCAGTAAAGAGAGATCATGTGCTCGATCTTGAAATTGGGCGCAATTAAGCCAAAAATGTCTTTACAAATTGCAATTACTCCCAGGAAGCCTAACATTTAAAGCTGCTCTCCTATTGACAGACTGATGAATATTAATAAGTCAGAATGAGTTTGGAGAGCTGACGTATTTGTTTCCAGTTCATCATGACTGTGCCATGAACCAGTGATGGCCTAGGGCCATTCCTCAAAACAATCATAAGTCTAACTTCTTGACTATCCCATTGAAATGCGTGTTAATTCTATAACACATGTTTCAATGGGATAGTCAAGAAGTTAGACTTATGACGGTTTTGAGGAACAGGCCCTAGCTGGTGGTAGAGTCGTTGCCCAGCAAGAAGCAGATGGCAGGTCTCATTTTTGAGACTTTTTTTTCAAGTACAAGATCGAGCATGCGATCCTTATTATACCGAGTGCAAGCCAAAAATGTCTTTATAAATTGAAATTATGCAGAGGAAGCCAGCTGACATTAAAAAGTATTTATAGTTAACAACTATTAAAAGTATTTTCACATTCTATCTTTGTATTGCCATAGTGATTTTGTTTACCGGTAGTTTTTTTCTTTATATGCTTTCTGATTACCAAATAATAAGATTGCTTGGTTCCCAAAATATTAAAGATATATATGTACCACTTATATGGATCAGCATGAGGAGGGAGAAAAAGAAAAAAAAGTAAAAGAAGAAATAGAAAAGAAGAAGAGAGAGATATAGAGAGAGATTTGAGGCATAGAGCAATTAAAAAAAAAAAAATCATGTTTTTACAGTTCAGTTGTGCAATAAGGATGAGCAGTTATTTATACTTAAATTGGAAAAAAGAGGAGATATGTAGATTCTCTGACAATGGTTGTTACACAATTGTTTGTTTTTTGTTTTTGGAGGTAAGTTGGGGCTGAGTCGGGGTCTAAAATAAATTGAGCTCGTAACTTCTATCCCAGGTTGGATACGGGAAGGGGCACAACGTGCCACATTTGCACCCCCCCCCCCCCCCCCCCCCTCTAATTGATACGATTTGTCTGTGATGTGGACCCCTCTCTTACTGTTTTGACCTGATAGTGATAATCCTTTTTTCATGGATTGGGGGAGACAAATGGACACCCCCAAAATATTCGCCGATCACCGACTCCATGCACCTTAGCTCCCGACACCCAGTACCGGGCCCGACACACTTGGTGCTTGTACAGCTAGCTCATCACGCATACAAAAGGAGTCTATAGAAATATCAGCTGATTCTCGAGGCCAGCCAAAAGTTGCGCTCCTACATAATACAGTCATGTAGACTACACGGCGAACATGGAGGACTGCCACTGACAAACCGGTAGATTTTTTGCTGGTTTGAAGTGATCTTTGGAAAGTGTCACCTTGCAGATATTAGGCCTATTAACATGGAGTCAAAAGGAGGTAATTATACTAACTATATTAACAGTATTTCGAAATTCGATGGTTTCTTACCGCCAATCAATGCAATGTTTTGTGCTTTTGAATGTGACTGACTGCTATGACTGCACTGTGCGCCTGATCCGCCTGCAAACAGTACAGTGCATGCAACTAACTGCATCCAGCCACGAATTGTGGCGGACCGAAGGCTGATGAATGAGAGCTCGGCTTTGTGGAGACAATTATTTTGGCAACTAAATTATGAAATAACTAACTTGTTTTCTTGTCATTTCTTTGCACACCTTATTTTGAGGTTATTAATAGATAAAATCTTCCCTATAGTCCTAGATCAAATTTGTGAGTTTTCACATTGCATTGTAGGAGTGTCAGTGAGTTTTCAATGGATTCTGAATGGCATCACATCATCATAGACCGAATTTTCCGTCTCTTTCGTTCGTTAGCCTCTTATTGGGGTAGGGTCGGCTCTCTCTTTAGAGACGGAAGCCGACTATACGCATTCCCTTGTTAACACCATGGCCATTTATGGCCATATTTTTATGCCCCGAAAATCCCCCAAATGTCATTTTACCTCGTACATGTTACATTGTAAATTAGGCCTAGAGTAGGCTATAATAAATCGGTTCCACTTACCAACTTGACTGAAATAATCAGTTAATGGTGCCTTTTTAGGAAATTATGGGTCAAAATCAAAATCCATGTTAAAATACGTCTTGCAAGATTTTTAACATGGATTTCGACATTTACAATATAACATGCACGAGGTAAAATGACATTTGGGGGGATTTTCGGGGCATAAAAATATGGCCATAAATGGCCATGGTGTTAGCAAGGGAATGCGTATAGTCGGCTTCCGTCTCTAAAGAGAGAGCCGACCCTACCCCAATAAGAGGCTAACGAACGAAAGAGACGGAAAATTCGGTCTAATTCACACTCAGTCACAGCCTTTTCTGTTTGTTTACAAGTAAGGGGAAACGTTGGAGATTAACTTGTAATTATGGACTATGTTTGTTTAGACTAGATCTATTGTGTTAAAATCTGAGGACATTGTTGATAATATTATTTTTAGGTGAAATTTAAAGAAGATCACAAATAGACTAGATCTATGTCAACTAATGTATCACCAGAAACTGGTATTGGTAAGCTAACAGATGGCCATCAGACAAGTTTTAGGTCAACTACATATCAGGTGATTTATAAAAATACAAATACAACCATCTCCATGGCAGCTAGGATATACGAGAGATTCGCCGGAAAAATAACAATGTTTTAATGACGTCAATATATGGACCAACACTGCCCAAGCAGACGACATCCCATAGAGAATGAACATAATTGCAAAGCTATTATTTCTCAAATTATAATGAGTTTAGTGTATATCAATGTAATGGCATGTCAAACCATTCAAAAGGGAATATGACCCGATTCTGATAACTAAAATCTTTTACTTGTAAATACACAGGATAGAGGTTAGTTAACAATCAAAGAAACCAGACTTTCAAATTCAAAAAACCCTGGAGTGATATTAAGGACGGCATTTGTTCCCTCTTGAAACGCCGAACATACCCTGGTGTGTGCAGCTGAATATACAATGGCATCTTATTTTGTTTACAAGCGACAGATTCCTTTATTTTTGTATCGCTGCATTTGTCATCAAAGTAAAACCATGCGTGGGGTTTAGAGTGAGGCAATATACATTTAGCCTGACTGTAGTGAAGTAAGAGAAAGAACTCAAGAGAAGATGAATACACAAGCACTGAAAATGTGTGGGATGTCATGGGACATCGTCTGCTTGTGCAAGTCATGTCCATACTGTGATGTCACACATCTCAGCAGCGTTCGGAGAGAGCTCGTCAGGTGCTATGCCGGGGCTGTATTTAAGCGTTTTGTAATTCGTAATAATCATTACTTCGAATGTTTCCAAGCATTGAATTTTGATAATCTTGTCGAATCAAAGTTTCAACTTTGCAATAATGAAAATAAAGTTAGTTTTTAAAATCAATATCTACTTTAATTCCCTTAGTTGCATAGCTATAGCCATTAGCCAGAGTGACTGCCAGACGAGTCACTAATTTAATTATGTGTCATATATCTAGACAGTTGATTTAAATCAGTGAGTTGAAGTAGTTTACAAGCAATGTTTCATAAAATCTTTTAAGAGTAAGACTTCTGCTAAACAATTTTATAAAAGAAAATTAATTATAGTGGTTAGTGCTAATTGATGCATACTTTGTTTTTAAATACTATCAGAAAAGTGGTGACTGTATTTTTGTTATTAAAGCCTCCAGACACAACCCCCCCCCCCCCTAAACAATTTTATAAAAGAAAATTAATTATAGTGGTTAGTGCTAATTGAGGCATACTTTGTTTTTAAATACTATCAGAAAAGTGGTGACTGTATTTTTGTTATTAAAGCCTCCAGACACAACGCCCCCCCCCCCCCCCCCCCCTCCACGGCCCATCAAACATGTAGAGACTGCATCATGAAATGGAAAAGTAGACTCTTACTCTTAGTTTTAACGTTACCGGTAATCATTTAATTTGCATGGTCATATACACATGTGATCTGCACTCTCTTTAGTGTCTATATTGAGGTGGAAGGTGCTTGACAAAATGAAGCACCATACCATGCATGGTCCTACTAGTCCATGATTGCACAGGGTTTAAATGAGTGGCACTTTCTTCATAATAATACTCTTGTTTTGACATCCTATTTTGGCTTCTTTGAATTTATTAATTTAAGGAAACATGGAAGGTGATTTAAACAAGGACTCCAGACCAGATGAAGAGATCAAGTTGAGCATTGGTGAATCCAAAAATAAGGAGGAGGTAACAAACATGGAGGGTCCTGATAAGAATGACAATGTGACTATTGTATTAGATCATTCTGAATCAGAACTCAAACAAGAAAAGGACCGAAAAGACAAAGAACACATTGAGGAATCAAATCACGTCAAGGACCACCACGATGCCGCTAATGGCGATATCGAGATGAAATTCGTCCTGGACAACAAGCATCTCCATACCGCCCTCTCCATACCCGGCAGTAGACCGGGGACTCCGAACACGGCCAGGAAACGCAAGAACCGCCACCTTGAGGAGATGAACATGGCTGAGATGATCTCACTTAGCGGGGTGGAAAGTATGTGCACCATCTCCAACTACGATGGCATGTCTACCCGAGGCTTTGATGATGATGAGGAAGGGGGTGAGGAGGAGGAGGAGGTTGATAAGGGCATCGGAGTGCATCATGTCTTGTCCGTCCTCCTTGCGATGATGTCGGTCGCAATCGTCCTGCTTCTCTATTTCCTGGTGCCTTGTCCAATGGAGCCTGAAAATTGGAGCGTGCAGATGGAAGGAATAGGTAAAAAGAAACATGTCAACTTTTTTTAGATTAGAAAGGTTTGTTTAAAAAATTAGAATGGTAATTAATGGCTGTATTTTAAGTTTGATAGTGTATTATATGTTCCTGTCAAAGATATTTCTGTCAAATTGCTGCTACTAAAGTTGAACTCAGACCAAAATATAATATTTTTGATTTGAAATTGATACTCAATTGATATTCATATTTAATTTTATTTAAAAACAATTTTTTTCTTTTGGGGGGGGGGGCAAAATTGTTATATTCCATTTGTCTTTTCGTAGTATTTCTGATATTTGTTTGTCATCTTTCGTTTTTTAAACTAAAAATATTAATGTATTTGCAAGCCTCTAATCCTGTCTATTGGCAGGCATTATTTTGTTTAGTCTTTGGTGCATGTGTCTAAAAATAAAACGTAATGTACCGTAGTTAAAGGAACTTGGTAACATTGTTCAGATGAGAGAAAATGGTGCTTATAGGTAGGTAGTGACTTCAATGCTACATGTTGATGTACAATTAGAGATAATCTGAAAGTTTGAGTGAAAATGGACGATTATGAATGAAACAAATTGGGAAAAACTTATCTGATTGATTTCTTAATGCTCCCAACTACATGTACATGTATATTATTACAATTTAATTACATTTGAGGTGAATGTAAATTCTCACAAAGCAATGAATTAACTCTATATATTATTCCAGACATTTAAGTGTGGAAGATTTTTTAAAGCCTGTCTAATGTCTTATTTTCATGGAAAACAGTTGGGAAAATTAAAAAATGGTTGGGAGAATTTACTGTTAGAAGGTGTCGCACAGTTACGCCTTCAAAGAAAACCATATATATCTTTGTGGTTTGAGAATTTGTTCATGATTTTTGTGCATGTTAGAGGCCGGGTATTTACGATAGAAGGAATATAAGTAACATTTCGTACAAAAATTACGCAATTTTTTCAATAACTTTCAACAATGTTACTGAGTCACTTTAAGAATGGCTTACTAGGTCCATGCTTTAAGGTAGCTACATGTAATTTTGCATACCATGTGCATACAGTAGGGTAAGTTTAACTTTATGGCTATGTATAGAAACATGCCTCTGCAGCTGATTGAACGATGCCTACCCTCTATAAATGTATTGGTTCCCTTTTTTTCTGTTTTTCTTGATATGTCCCAGTTTCATCATCTCCTGTAAGACTACTTGATGTCAATAGAGATGGCATGGACGATGTCATATTCGGCTTCTCCATTGGAAAATCTACCGACCCACCTGAAGTTAAAGCACAACTGTGTGAAAATCTCAGTAAGTGTGTAGTATTGCAAAATAAGCTGAGCTGTTGAGATATTATGATTGTATGCTTGTACTTCTTTAATAACCTGGAAGCTTCTCCAATGCATCACCAAAACCTTCCTGCTCGAATTGTAAAATGCTGTGTTCATGTGGATAGGGTATAATTAAGTTGCCCTTTACCACAAAATATTATATAATTCAAGGTCACATAGGTTTAAAAATTTGGTTAAAAGCTACCAAAGTTGGGTAGACACTACACTATGTTTGAACAATGTATACATACTATATTGGAGGCCCCTTTTTTCTTTTTCAATGGTATAATGGATCCCCGACATGGAACTAATGTCCTTTGGCAAGGCATTAATCTTCATTTGCCACACTCGACCCAGGTGAGGTAAATGGGTACCTGGCAGGAATTAATTCCTTGAAATGCTGGAGCGCTGTAATGGCAGATAGGCTTAAAGCCGGGGTAATAATTAGTGCGCCTCAGAATAGACTTTCTAGATAGACGGCGCTATAAAAAAGCCTATTATTATTACTATTATAAATTTCTCGAACAGATTTATCGTCGTCCTGCAGTGGAGGGGTGATAGCCATGAGTGGCTGGAGGGGTGAGGTATTATGGAGACTGGACATGAATCACACCAACATCAATAGCTTGGTCTGCAATCAGCTGGACGTCAACAAGGACGGTCAGTTGGACTGTCTGGCCGCAGGACGAGATGGTCTTCTGATGGCCATCAATACAAAAACAGGTTTGTAGATGGCCGGATCAAGATTATGTCCATCTATCTGTATGTGTTAGTGGCCGTGTCATATCTCAGTCATACTTACAAACCGATTCAATACCGACTCCGATCCAATCTTTCCCCATGGGAGGCAAGCTAGGAATTACTCTCTTTTTTTTTGGGGGGGGGGGTGGGGAGCTAACTACTTTTCAAAAAACCGAGGGTATACTTTCTTAAAGCCATATTGTAAGCCGTAACAATAAGTTGTGTTTTTCCTTACACTGTGACTAAATAGGTACGTAATATGTTATTTAGTCTTTTTTTTTTCTGTTTTTCGTCACTATAATCATGTATGCTGCTATTATAATGTCATGAATGCTGCTATTGTGATGTCATGTGTGCTGCTATTATGATGTCATGTCACCTGATCTCTTTTCCGTACTGGTCAGGTGCCATTCTATGGGAAGCTGATCCCTCTGTGACCGTACCAGCATGGACCTATTCTCAGCCTCAGACCTTACCTGAAGATCTAGACGATGATGGCGTATTGGATCTTGTAGTGTCACATGGTGTCAATTATGAGAATATATCGGAGGGCGCACAGGTATGTCATGCAATTGTCAAGTAATATTTATACGTTTTATTCATGTGAAATGATCTTGATTATGTGTTCTGTTATATTGAGGCAGAAGTATGCTGAAAAATGTATGTTCCAACTCAACTGTTTCGTTGTGTCGTTTCTTTTTTATTTATAACTGACAGGTTATGAATTTTGAAATTAAGAAATATAGGACATTTCCAAAGAGAGCAATTTATGAAAGGCAAGGGCCATGTTATCTTATTTTATCTTGTAAACATCCAAATCAGATGCATCAGTGCAGTTCTGTGTATGTTTGTACAGACAAGGGTGTTATTTCAAGCCTATTTTTCACATTTCTAAGAAAAGCATATCGATATACTTCAGTGTTAGAAGAAAAATATAATAAACTATGATCTGGATTACTAATAAAATAACTGTTATTATGGCCCTTAATGCCTTCAGTACCATAGGCATGTCATCATCAGCTCGGGATTGCCAAATATCCCGCTATTTGAACTATCCTGATTGCAAATTATCCAGTTATTTTGCGTCTTCGTCAGCCCGAAGTTGCAATTAGCAGGATATTTGGTCAAGATAATCATCCCAAGGTATCTTGAGCTAGTTTGCAAAATATCCCGCTATTTGTCCGGTGCGTCTTCACTAGCCCGGAGACTCGCACTATGCGCGAACGCTGAGCAAAATATCTCAAGCTAATGTGTTGAGCTTGAGTTTCAAGTTTCGAGGCCAAGTCTCAAGCTGATGAAGACGCCATTTGGACCTTCAGGATTATTTCCCAAGTCAGAAATAGCAGGCTATTCGGCAATCTCAAGCTGATGAAAACAGTCCTCATAATGGTTTAAGCCATTGCCATATTAGTGAACTATAAACAGTCAATTTTTTCTTTTAAGTGCTTTGTTTGGTAGTAAAGCTGGGGATAGAAAATATATGATCCAATTAAACTCGACCATAAAGATAAATGTGTTTCCTCTTTTTTTCTTAAAAAAACAAACAATAAAAGACATCTATTCTTAGTTAAAGCACATGGCTGAAAACTATAATTCTTTGGCGTTGCTGCAGACAGGATGATCATAAAGGGTGATCATAAAGGGTGACACATGTAAATATACACATGTAGTTATGCTGAACAAATTCAATCATCTTCAATTTCAATTTCAATTTATTGTCCAATATTGGAAAAAAAATTTGCTCACATTTTACAAACGTACAAAAGAATAAAAATAAGTTTACACGTAAACCGTACAATACATCATATACTTTGACATAGAAATTCTTCAGAATATTGCTTTACAGAAAAATTTCCTACATGATTATAAAACAAAATTAGTGAATTATGTTAAATGTTTGAGTGATCGGGATGGCCTGGAAAGGTTGTAAAAATAACATTACAGAAATAAAGAAGAACATAAACAATTATATGACCTTTTGCAGGGTGGTGATGAACTTGGAAGGCTTCTGCTGCTATCAGGGAAGACTGGTCAATCATTGGGTACTTACCTGGAGATGCTCGACGGACATGCCTCAGTGAGCCCACCAATCGTCTTTCAGGCCTCTGATGATCAAGATGACACACCCTATATTGTGTTCGGATCTGGGACAGCGTCTGGAACTGTTAGCCCAGGTAGATTGATTGATTGATTGATTGATTGATTGATTTTTATTCACCAAGCTTCCAACATACAACGATATACAATAATAATAGGTCAAAATTAAGTCAGCTTGAACAGGATAACCCACAAAAGTTCGAGAGCTTATTTCCAGTGGGTATGTAATGTATATTGATACTTGGGTGTAATGTGCAGTTACACCTGCCTTAGTGGCCACCTCTTTATAAAGGCCACCTGTCTATAGTGGTCGCCTATATTGTCTCCCTCTAGCGAGTCACGTGTGTGGTAGAACCTGTCTAGAAAGGCCACCTGGACACTGTGGCCACTTTGCCTTTTTCCGTTGGATGGCCACAAAAGACAGGTTTGACTGTATATTTGTAATATTCGGAAGGGTGTTACTTTCCCATTTTAGGACTGCAGTTCAATGGCTTGTAATTGTGTTACTATAAACTCAAAGGGACTTTTTATGTTTTCTCCTTCTGGACATCTTTTTTTGATTGTGATTGCTTAAAAACTACACCTTGAATATGGGGGAGAAACAAAAATTAAGTTAGCTTGGATCAAGTCTTATCTATACAGAATAAGAAGTCTGTGGAATATAGAAAATAAACATTCTGATCTTTAATTAGCTGCACATCTTTAATCTTGTGCAATATATGGTTTTTCTCTCCTGGACGGATTTGTTTTCCTTTTGTGCAGTATATCGTCAAAATGTCATGTAGGGCACAATATATTTTTGTAGCTTTCATGGTATCCAAGAATCATTTGTTAGGCTTTGATTTGGTGTATAGAGTCTCTATTGTATGCATATTAACAATGGTAGCAGATTCTGCTTCAGTTTCTTTTATTGGCATTCTGCTGGCCATTGTTTCAAGCTGTAAATGTGACCTTTGACCTTCCAGTGCTCACATTGACCTTTATGTATCCTGTATCCTGTACACATTTAATTGGTTTGAAAAATAAGAGTAGAGTTCAGGATGTATGGTGTTTATTATACTGTCAAGACCAAAGACCATATACAGTGCGTCCCAGAAAAAAAGAAACCGAGAATTATTGATGTTTTATCATAACTTAATCACAATTATAATTAATAAATGACACATATTTATAAAGCTTAGATACTCCTCTTTCAGTTGATACAACTCATATGATGCATATTTCATGCATTAGTAATTAAAAACAATTTGAAGAGAGGGTACCAATAGTCATTTTTAGGGCGGTATCTGAATTTCAAAGAGAAAATCACATTTCTAGAAAGTTCATTTTCTGCCCTTTCTGATTAGAATCTGGGGCAAAGATAGCCGTCCCTTTTAAAGCACTTGTAAGCTACCTTATGCTGATTTTTCTGTGTTTTTTAAAACAATAATTTGTCATTATTGTTTCAGGGTCTATGTGGATGGTGAGCCTAGAGAGGCTACTATGTCATGTGACAGGAAGTGACTGCATTACCCACAGCACTCCCTCTGGTGAGCAACAAGAGACTATCAGGACCGGTGTGTCTAGTATAGATGACCATGTCATAGAACTTGTAAGGTAAGACCAACAATGTGTGTATTAATGAAGGAATGGGTAGGTGGTAGGAGAGGAAGGTGGGGAGAAGCACAAGTTGTGTGATTGAGAACATGATAACGAGGGGGTTCATATTTAAACTTAAAGGTATAGACTTGTTCTGGAAATGCCCCCCTCTCAAAAAATGAAATGGAAGCTCCTATTACCAATCATGTGAAAGAATATGTTTTGACTATACAAATTTTGCCGGGAAACCGCCTACTAATTGATATATTTGGTAAATTATCAGGGCCTTGGATGCCCCTTTGATGGGCCTCAATGCTCCTCTCATTGGCCTTGGAGATTTGTGGTGCCCTTTTCAATTCATCCTGTTTGTGCTTAGGAATGTGCCCTACAGAAAAGTGGCCTTGCCCTAAAAATATTGAAATTTAAGGCCTGAATTATTATATCTATCCGGGATGAATAGATAACGCGTAGTCCCATATACATCTTTCTGTGTACAGTGCTTGTAACTTTACCGAGACTTGGCCAAATTTCTTATTATTTTGATGATTCCAGAACCTTGCAGTACATACCAATACTTATATGTTAGATGATCAACCTTTTTCTAATCGATTCCACAACGTTTCTTTCACAATGCAATCGCATGACCAGAACTGGCCTTTACCTTTAAAGTGTAAAAGCAGTCATTATCTGAAGCTTGAATGCATGTTTATGAATAACAGCCCGAACAGCTGTGAGTACAGTTACTATGTTGCCAGTTGTAATGATGTAATGCCTGTTTTAAACGACTGATCCTGAATGTATAACACAAATATGTAAAGTATGCAAAGAGTACCTCCCCTACAAATAAACAGTGTAAAATTGTCAGAGGTAAGATTGTCAGAGGTAGAAAATGCCAGAGGTAATTTGTTCAGAGGTTAATTGTCAGAAGTAAACATGTAAGGAGTTAAAATGTCAGGGGTAAAAATGTAGAAGGTAGAAATATCAGACGTAAAATTGTCAGAAGTAATAATGTCAGAGGTCAAAATGTCTAAGGTAAAAATGCTAGAGGTAAAAATGCCAGGGGTAAAAATATCAGGTTATTTTTTTTTACCTCTGACATTTTTACACCGAACTCTATAATCGATGTATTTGAATAGTGATATAGTGTATGTGCTGATTTAAAAGAGGACATGAAGTGACACTGAAATTGCTTTTTGCCAATAAACAATACACATTGTTCAAAGTCTGCCACATTTATGCCCTACCGGTAATTGCAGGCCCGGAAAGAAAGATCAGTTAGAATTGTGAGATTAAAATAGATTGATACTGTTTAAATAGTCCAAAGTCTGCTACATGATGAAGCACTAATTGTAGGCCTTGAGTAAAAGATAAGAAGATGTTGTGTATGGAGATAAAGGGAGAATTAGGGAAACAAAGGACTTGGTTACCTGTAAAATATGTATCTATAATCATTGAGTGTTCATCACGGACCCGTTTCACAAAGCTTTTTTTCAATGACAAATGACTAAAATCAGTGAAAAATCTGGTGATAAGCAATCAGAAGCAAGGATGTCAGTAGCTTATAACAAAAACTGTCATTTGTCACTGATAAGTTTTGTGAAACGCCCCCAGGTGTATGAAATGTTATTGACCTTCCTGAAGGCAAGGTTGATATTTCAGACCATCAGTGAGACTAAATATAAGGGAAAGTTTGTTATCTACTCCTGTAATTATTTACAAAACAGAAATATTTAGATACATGTAGAAGACTTGAAATTAGGCATTTTCTAGCAGCCATTACTACTGCTTCTACTATTACTATAACATGTTATTACTAACCAATAGTATGCTGATTACAACTTTAAGCAAACAACAATAAAAAAATGCTTAGTCATTTTAAATAAGAGGTGTTTTATCTTATCTCAGGCTGTTTCAGTGTAAACAGTCTCCTCCGTTTGTTGGTTTTGCTACACCTGTACATGTACATGTAGGTTTTTCCAACAAATACTATTGTAATTCAAATTCAATACAAAATCAATATTAACATATCTGTCTGAAATGTAGGAGGGCTATCAAAAAAACAAAAAAATTGAGTTTGTCTGATTGTCAATCACCAATTAATAGTGATCAATTTCATCCGAACCCAGGAAATCATGGAAATAACCATTGTTTTAGGGTCAAGTGAATTTGAACAATCTACGACAAATCACCTCAGGAAATTGATTTTTTTTTTTTTTTAAATTTTGTAACCTAGAATCAATTGTTTAGGGAGTGTTAAAAAGTGTAAATCTGTTGTATATAGGAACTGGGTTTTTCTTGTATTAGATCTGTAGACAACAGGTGGATAGTACCTGCAATAGAATAATGATGATGATGATGGTGATGATGATGATGATGATGATGGTGATGATGATGATGATGATGATGATGATGGTGATAATGATGATGATGATGATGATGATGAAGACGATGATAATGATAATAATAATGACAATAATAATGATAATAACAATAGTGAAAATAACAATAATGATAATTATGATAATAATAATGATGATAATAATAATAATGATGATAATAATAACAAGAATGATAATGACAGTGATAATAATGATGATGATAACGATAATAATTATAACAGTTATACTACTACTACTACTACTACTACTACTACTACTAATAATAATAATAAGATAATTATGATGATAATAATAATAATAAGAATGATAACATTTTTATCATTTTATTCCTCCATCATTGTCATCATCACCATGTATGTTTATTTTATAACAGAGGAAATGGAGATGGTTTCATCCTCCCCGCAATCGTAGTTGACATGACGATGGATGGGGTCAATGACCTCATCATCATATCCCATGATGCCTTAGTCACTGCCATCAATGGATCTAGCTTCAAGCCTCTGTGGAGTATACAGCTTGATGTCGACTCTGAGTACAGACCATACAGGTGTGTAGAGTAATTTAAAAACATTTATTACTAATTCATTAGCTTAAATCTTATATTTGCTCATTGTGACTTGTTCTATCTGAAATACTGTCTGTGACTCATTTATTATCTATTGCATCTTTCTCACCTAGACACATGCATATTTATATTATCTTTTTTTACGAGAATACACAACATTAAAGTACATGAATTGCTTGGGACCCCATTGTGCTGCATACAATTGACTTTTTGTCCAACTTTAACTCTTAAGATGAATTTTCAGGGGAAAAGGCTACTAAATATGATTTAAATATCTGCTTTTTTAGCACTTTTTGAATAAGGTCACAAAGTTTCATTCACACAAATGTATAGCCTTGTTTCGTGTATAAAGTTTCCAGCTTGATGCAAGGACAACTAGATCATATACTCAGACTTAGAAGTGATTAAGGCCAAATTGTCTTTATTTGAAATCACAACTCCTCTTTTTCCTTAACATGTATGTTGTAATGATGTTTCAGTGTGTCAGCACCTGGACACTTCAACGACGATGAGATACCAGACCTGATGGTACAGCTGGGTCCACATCAATCGGCATCCAACACTAGCCATGCAAACAAGGTCAGTGTCTTTATAGGCCTGTCTTCATCAGCTCGAGATTGCCAAATAACCCGCTATTTTAACTACCCCGATCGCAAATTATCCAGCTAATTTGTGTCTTCGTCAGCCCGCAGTTACAATTAGCAGGATATGTGGTCAAGATAATCATCCCAAGATATCTTGGGCTAGTTTGCAAAATATCCCACTATTTGTCGGGTGCGACTTCACCAGCCCGGAGACACCAGCCCAGAGACACCAGCCCGGAGACACCAGCCCGGAGACACCAGCCCGGAGACTCGCACTATGCGTGAACGCTGAGCAAAATATCTCAATATTTGAGTTTCAAGGTCGAGTCTCGAGCTGATTAAGATGAGATTTGTAACTTCAAGCTTATTTCCCAAATCAGAAATAGCAAGCTATTTGGCAATCTCGAGCTGATGACGGCAGACCTTATGTTACTTCCAAGGTGATAAGAAATAATGATATGATAATGTGGATGTCTTCTTGTATGATAGTGCTCATATCTTAGGTGCATCAATATTACCTTAACAGCCCTACAGTATCCCCTTTTCTCTTGCTATAAATCTCTCACTCTCTCATTACCTCTGCTTTTATCCCTTTCTCTCTCTCTCTCTCTTTCTCTATCTCTCTCTTTCAAAATTATAAAAGATGAGAAATAATCATATTCAGATGTAATCTGCAATCTGAAATATTTTCTTTGTTTCGGGGGGGGGGGGGTTAGGGGCTGGGAAGGAGAAGAGAACTTACTTTGTTTTGGACTATACACTCCCTAGTCTCATTTCACTTCTCTATCCACTCCACTTTGTGTCTCTTCGATATTAGACTTTCAATATTCCCCCTCTCCCCCCATCAAATATTTTTCAAATATATGACAGGCTTAGTTTATCAGGGGAGTGTTTCACAAACACTAAGATCGACTTTAAGTTGGACTTAACTATGGCAGGCTGTTCATGCCACTGTTTGGTCTCACCATTTACTGGCATTGGTCTCATTGGCATTGGACATACAAATCATGGTCACAAATCTACAGAATTTACATTTTTTGATAATTCATTATTGAAGGAAAAATTATTATCTAAAGATCATAATGGTGAGAGCAACCAGTGGCATGGATGGCCTGCCATAGTTAGGTCCAACTTAAAGTCGATCTTAGTCTTTGTGAAACACCCCCCTGATCTTTATTCAATGTATATTGTAGATTGTCATACTGGATGGAGTGACTGGAGGAGAACTGTGGCACACATTGACAGAATCAAGCTTTGAGAACCAGCCTAGAGACTCTAGACCATCACCTCTTAGTCTACGAGCTCGGGGGGAGAAAGATGCGTTCACATTTTGGATAGAACACCATCCCATAAAGGAAGTGGGAACAACTACACAGGTATCTCGTCTGTCATGTAATTCACTAGTTTGTTTTGTTTACAGATGAAGTCCACCTTGTAAATGAGTTATTTTTTATTGAAAGCAGAAAAACGAGCGAAAGAGATCTGTGAAAGATTGAGGAAAATCTGATAACAAGAAAGTTATTGTTTTATAAAAAAAGAGGTGTTGTGGTCTAGTGGATAAGCCACCCGACTTCAGATCACAAGGTACGAGGTTTAAGTTCTGCCGCTGCACTAATGTCCTTTGACAAGACGTTTATCTGTATTTGCCACTCTCCACCCAGGTTTTAATGGGTACCTGATATGCTTGAGCGCTAGTTACTTTGGCAGCTCGGCTACGACCAGGGTAATATGTGTAAAGCGCCATGAGCGTCACAGCCGTACGGATACCGGCGCTTTATATATAACCATATTATTATTTATTATTATTATTGTTAATAGATGCAACTTGGTAACTCTGTGTCATTCCTTTTGAAATCGTAAGTCCAGTCATATATCCAGGGCACAAGTATAGTGAAATATTTTCCTTGGGAAAATGGAATTTGATGAAATTTTAGTAATAGAACAAAAAGGAGTGGCTGGAATACTCCCCAGGGAGCAGAGCATGTGCAATTTCATGTGCAGATAGGCAATTGAATGCAAATGACCGGGGTAATGATGATTGCAATGTAAAGCCACTAAAAACGTAGTATTGCATAAGCCAGAGCTGCCAACCTCCAGAACAGAAAAATCAGTAATCACGAGGCTCAAAATCAGTAATTTTGGGAATAAATCAGTAATTTCCTACGCCAACACTGCGCGGACGCATGCGCGCATGATTATCTGAAATTATTTGGTGATTTTACCCACACAAAAAAATGGCTAAATATTGATTTCAGGTCATCATAACACATCAGTTTGCCATGAAAAATTGGCTTATAAGTTCTATTAAGAGAATACTTGATACTTTTCCGTCTTTCTCTGCGAATATTGGATGGCCGCTATACTGCACAGATTTAAAAATCGTTTTTTGTTGTTAATCCCTTATTTTAGAAAACATTCCGTGCAGATCGTTAATTTCCGTACCAATTACGGGAAGTCCGTACTAGTTGGCAGCTCTGAGCGCTAATCAAATGTGACTATTATTATTATTTTTATTCCATAATGGAAGAGGTTGTTGTACTTAAGTCCAAACATACCTTTAGTATCTGCTATATGTGCTTTTAAGTCAGCTGCAGTCAAGCATGTCTTAGTGGCCACCTGTCTACAGTGGGCTCATTTTCCGTTCATCTTGGGTGGCCTTTGTAGACAGATTTGACTGTATTTGGCTAAATATGTGTTGTGCTTTCCACTAATACAGAGTAACATAGACGGGTGCTCAGATCTCATCTCTAAATACCCTACTCTCAACCTTGTGATGATGGACAGAGATATGGCCATGGACCCACCCAGTCTCCTCTCAATACGACCATACAAACCCATACGCAGTAAGTCATAATGCTGGTATTCCTTCATGCACTGTTTAGTTAAAGATAAACTTCTGGTAAAAAAAGAAAATGAATTCTCACAGAATCAAACGAAACTTACATTGAATGTTCAAGATTACAAATAAACATCATTTGCCAAACAATTTTGGTAGAAAATGTATACTGGCTGAGTAATGAGCATAGAAAGATGAGAAAATCAAGGTTAGTAGCCCAGACACCATTTGTGTAGTCCCATATACATCTTTCTGTGTACAGTGCTTGTTACTTTACCAAGACTGGGCCAAATTTAATATGATTCCAGACTCCAGAACCTTGCAGTACACACCAATACTTACATGCTACATGATCAACTTTTTCTGATCCATGTTCCATACCTTTTCTTTCACAATGCAATCGCATGACCAGAACTCAACTTTATCTTTAATATAAATAGCTTCATTCTGGAAATAAGGTAATTGTAACCAAATATTAATTATCTGAATTTTTATGCTTTCAAAAAATATCTTTACTTGAGGGATCATCAGGCATTTGAAATTAAACAAGCAACTGATTATCTAATATTCTCCATACCATTTAAAAAAGATAAGGAATCTATAAGGCCAAATAATTAAAAAAACATGTTTAGCGTCCTGCTTTTTTGAAAAATAGAAAGGAAGAGACCCTTTTTTTTTTTTTTTAAATGGCCGCTCAAAATGGCCTCTCTGTACATTTTCCCTGACAGTCTGGCTATTTTTCAAGATGGCCGCCAACATTTAAAAAAAAAAAAAAAAAAAAAAATTAATCAAAAATAGATCCATTTTAACAGTATTTTTCATGTTTTTTTTTCTTTAAAAAAATACAATCAAAAATCAAAATAAAAAAAAAATAAAAAAAAAATAGGTGATGGCCCCCCAAAAGGAAGCGGGCGGGAACATTAATATTTTATAAGGCTATTATCAGGGTATATTACTGGTTATTTTTCATCTTGATTTAAAAAAAAAAAAACAATAACTGAAATTATACATGTAAAAAGATTTTACCTGATTTGTTGAGAGGTTCATGTATCTCCATTTCATTTGAACAGCTACACCGAGCAGTCAGCCCTCCAGTGACATCACTACAAGTCAGCCAATCAGCATTGGAGCTTCTAGTCACATGACATCTCCGCCTGTTCCCGAGGCCTCGAGTCCCACGGTGGTAGATGTTACACCATTGCTAAGTGATTTGACTGCCTCCAGCTCTATTCCACTAAATGCATCTTCATCGTCATTGTCCTCGTCATCGACATCGTCACCTCAAAGATTGAGGAGATCAAGCTCCGAAGATTGTATGATGATGGAACCGATCCTCGAAAGCACAGGTAAGACACTTTTGCAATTACAGTCAAACCTGCTTCAGTGACCACCTGTCTACAAAGACCACATTTTTTGTTTCCCTTGAAAATGGTTTCTCATTGAAACATGTACTAAAGGAACCTGTCTACAAAGACCACTTTTTGTGTTTCCCTTGGGCGGTCGCTGTAGACAGGTTTGACTGTACATATTTTGTTGATTTTCAGGTACATTACCACTTCAAAGTAGAAGTGCGGTCATACTGCTTTCGTTTTGTTTGCCGGTCTATGGGTATTGATTCATTTATAAAAACACAGAACTTTCCTATGTTGTATTGTTAACTCAAGTCTTGGTCAAGGAGAGTACTAGCTGAGTAGTACCGCAATATCACAGTATTCATGTCCATGTAGTATTGCAATTGGATTCATGAAGCCCCCTTTCCAGATGATTTTCCCCATCTTAAGCGGTACTGCCATGAAGAGATGCTGAAACATCCTAAAGTATTTGTCCTATTTGGTATCATTTATTTCTTTACATTGGTACAGACTGGCAAATTAAGATTTAGTTGTTTAGCCAAAGGACTTTTCTGTTTTATCTGTACAAAGCCGATGAGAGGGTATAGTCTGTATACTTGGTTAAAGGTAATACAAAGTTTTGGTCTGGGGTCATGAATTCGGTTCAAATGAACATATTGGAAGCATATGCGATCCTACAATATTCAGTAATTGTTGTCGCGGTTAACATCGAGTCTAAAGTGATGAAATTGTAAATATTAAAGTCTTTATCTTGTTTAGCTCCCTCTCAAGGTCAAGGTATTAATTTAGCTTTAAAACAATGTTTCTTGACTAAAATCGATTGATTTGCTATTCCCGTTTGGAAATTATATATCAAAACTGCATCTGGCCGTTTTCAAAATTTCCCAAAATTTGTATTACCTTCAAGTTCATATCTATGGGGTAGGGCTGTTCTCCATCCACATTGGACCTTGTAACAATGTTATCATTTATATTTCCATTCTACAGGTATTATAGGTGATTTTGACGATGATGATTCCCTGGAACTCATTGTTGCTTTCAACACAATGCCGACGTACCTTGGGTCCCCTGCCAGTCCTACCAACCAGCCCCAGGCCTATCTTACAATCCAGCGTGTGAGTCTAGAGCAAGCCCTGGACCAGAATAGGAGGATCAAGCTAGTCCTGGCCGACTCCTTCCTTAGTCCCAGCATTGAGAACTCAACCGTCAGTGGGAACATCTTTGATCATTTTGACTTGTTGGAGACCAAGTTTCAGACCTGGTTGGGGTACTTGGGTACCAAAGCAGATGGAAGGTATACTTAATCACATGTCTGTCACATGATGCATACAGTCCAGTCTGCCCCTGGCTAACTTGATCACAAATTGTTCTTCAAATTGTCAAAAATTATCTTTTTCTTTGAATGTAACATTCTTCTATTAAAATGCAATGTCTCTGAAAACGATTTCCATGGGTAGAAGTTTGGTTGGAATATTGAGACAAGTTGCAAATTTTATCGAGAAAAAAAATGATTTTGAATCTCTCAGTGTCTTGCCAATTTAATGATCTTGTAGCTTGTTTGCCTTTATAAATTCCCTGTATCAAACGCAATTTGTCCATGCAATAAAAACGAACTCAATATACGCAGAACTTTTTGCCCTTTCTTTCCATCCATTTAGTATGTTTTTAATGCTCTTGATCAAAAGATACTCAGCAAAAACAAAATTTTTTAAATATATGTCTCGAGGGGTTTAATTTAAAGGCCACCTATGCTTAAAGGCAACCTGGTCATAATGGTCTTTTTTATTCTACACCACTAAAGAGACATGAATACAAGACCAGTCTGCCTTATCACTGTTTGTTTTTCTTTCAACTTTTTGTGTGGAAGTATGTATGTTTTTAATGCTCTTGATCAAAAGATACTCAGCCAAACCAAAAAAAAAATGAAATATATGTCCCGAGAGGTTTAATTTAAAGGCCACCTCTGCTTAAAGGCAGCCTGGTCATAATGGTCTTTTTTATTCTACACCACTAAAGAGACATGAATACAAGACCAGTCTGCCTTATCACTGTTTGTTTTTCTTTCAACTTTTTGTGTGGAAGTATGTTCTTGTAATTGCTAACTCATTTACAGTCAAACTCATTATATAAAAAAAAAAGTCACTTTTCTATCTTAAAAGTTTAAGACCAACTTTAACCAATGATAGTATAGGAATTTGCATTCGTAAATTGACTGCCATATGCAATAATGAAAGGGCATAACTATACATGGATGTAACAACGATGATACTAGAAACATAATGTTGATGACGTGAATGGTGATTATGATGGCAATGGTGATGGCAATGGGAATCAAATTGTACATTGTGTGAATGGTTTGGGCCTATTTATAGACATTCAATGCTTTATAATTGCTTAAATTACTACGATTACTTGGTTAATTACATTGATTTTGGTGATGACTATGATAGCAGAGATCGGTGATTTTAAATGATATTTATTTTATTGTAGTGGTTACACCCAATTGAGATGAATAATGATGTTAATGATGATGACGTTTATAGTGATATAAAGTATCTCTGTGTTGAAAATCGTGATGTTCATAGAGAATATGCTAAATTTAATTTTAGCTATCGCCAATACCCCCAAATGCCCGGATGTTATTTTCAAGCCTCCATTTCAAATGCACTCTGTGATAGCTAGGTGACTCAGTCGCTTCCAGTCTTTTGTGCAGCTAAACTGTACCGTCCAGTCTCACCCAATGCAGAGCAGCGTAGCAGCCAGCAGTCAATAGTCACTGTGCTAGCTGTCTATATTATAGAGATATTGACTGCTTTGAAAAAGCACTGTATGGTGTCCGCTCGCTCAAAGAACTTTTTAACACGTAAACCAATGGGTATCGCAGCACAATTTTACTATTTTCATGGTAATCAGAATTTTGAGGGATCTCACTCTTGGACTATTAACCAGTAATGGCATTTTTCGCTTCTTTACGGGAATGGCTAAAATCAAGAGTTCAAGACTCCAATTTCGACCAATCAGATGGCTGGATTTCTTAAGTGAGGTATATAAAGTACTATGTCGTAAGCAATTCTCTATGTTTTACAAACTGTGAATCTGCTGTGTGCTGGTCGCAAAAAATAAATGAAAGAACCTTCAGAGATATCCCTGAATGAGAGATGTGTCTTACTTGGGTAATCTTCCCAACAAGTCCTATACAGCGCGCACGCGCGCGACCTGGAAAAGGTTGATCCAAAGGCAAGACCAGTTTAAAATCACTGCACAATCGTGACTCGGTTCGCAGCATTTTTACAAAGAACAATTACAAAATGATGGACATGCAGTGAGATTCCTTAAGTATTTCTTCTCAAAAAATCATGGATACAATCAAAATCAGAGGGAGTCGGTAGCAGCCGACCAGAGAGAAATCTAGAATTGGCTTTCGGATCAGTATATTATGCATGCGTGATATGTGTATCTTGCGCGCGCCGCATGCACCATATACCGGATGTATAGGAGTACCGGAAGTGGCTCAAAATTACATCCAAGAGGCGCACATCCTGGTATTTGGGGGTATTGGCGATGGCGAGAATTCTTTTGGGGCATTTACTATTTCAGTATTTGTATTTATTAACATTTATTTCCTTCTCAACAGTACAATATGAAACACGATGTATATATAAATGATATATGTAACAATTATTTCAACATAGAGTATACAGTAAATAATTCAGATACGGAAGGAGGCGAAAACCCGGAAAGCATAGCTTGAGTTGGGAACGCCCATAATAAGTTAACATAGAGTTAATGCCCTTCTTGCTGTCAACAGACAATATATTATTCATTCCATCATTTGGTAAAGTATTTCAAAGGCAATTTATGAATAAGCCATGTTCACAGATGCTGTTAAGGGGTATGAAAAATATTTTTGTAATTTATTTTTATGAAGCTGTTTTAAGTGGTACACTTCCCATTATAATGGATATAGATGAAAATATTTGTCGACTATAACAAAATGTAATTATTTATTACTAATTTTTACTGATTGAAATTGATGGTGCTTAATCTTTGAGTTGTGGAGGACCAAAGATATTTATTGAGTCAACAGTTTTGTAAATTCTTGTTTCAACGGAGTAGCTCACATGATGCAATGTTTTAAAGATATAGACAGGTAGTGGTAAAATTGCGGTTCAAGGGTTTTGGGTGCAAAATATCCATTCAATATTGTTTAAATATCGCTTTCAGAGGTTTAGATGGCAATACTTAAACCTAAATTTGCAACAACAAAAAAAGAAATATATGCCCAAATGTTCAATGTTAAAGTGCATTCGCGATATCTATCCAGGCCGGATCCATATGATAATTTACCAAATATATCAATTAGTTGGCGGTTTCCCGCATGATTGGTAATAAGAGCTTCCATTTCATCTTTTGAGAGGGGGCGTTTCCAAAACTGGTCTATACCTTTATCAAAAATGAAATGATGGTGTCATACAAATGCTGTGAATGAACTGAAGGAAAACATTAATTGACGTACATGTATAGATATAAAAAAAAAGGTCTTCTCTCAAACAGTTAACATTTATATGATTTAAAGTTGAAGGGAAATGAAGGGAATCTACTCATTTACCCCTTCCAATTCTACCAACATTGCATCGTGGGAGCATTGTGTTGTATCCTGGATCGATGACTAGGCTTAGATCTACAACATCGTGTACTAAAGTAAAGTAAAGTAAAGTATATTGGTGAAGGCTCTTGATTCTCATATTAGAGTTTTCTGGGTTGAATCCTTGCTTGGTGGCTTACAGGATCGACCAGGGTGTTTTATCCCTAATTGTTCCCTCTAGATCCAGGGGGTATTTCACAAAGACTCTAAGTCGAACTTAACTCTAAGTTGGACTTATAAATTGTGGATAGCCATGTGTAGCCTTAAAATAAAATATATTCAAAAGCAAATATACAAGTATTTTAGACTTTTCATAAATTCCACATCAAGAACATGAAATCTCCCATGATAATTGAAAATATGAATGATTTGAATCAACATTTATGCCTTTTGAAATAACTTGTACAAAATATTTTCAATGGGGCTAACGGCTTTCCATAATTTATAAGTCAAACCTAGAGATACGTTAAACTTATGATCTTTGTGAAACATCCCCCAGGTGTATCACAAGGGTACCTGGCAACGCAGGGAGTTACTGTCATTACAGGGCCTACAGAAAGAGCAGTATTAATTTGATTGATGAGGCTGCTTTGGGTAAATAAGACCTCATCGTATCATGAAGTATTATCAAGTACCTCATTGTAGTGTGTCTGCATATTTCTTGTATAAGATGTTGATATTACTCAAAAGTTTTTCCTATATTAGGAATATACTTGAATGATTCTGAAATGAATAGGTATTATATGTGTAATTCCTAAAGGTATAATCTTCTGTTGTAAAGTGATGATCATGAACATCACAATAATAAATAGTGCAATGTATAATCTGTTGTATTACTGATCTGTATAAAAACGTATGTTTACAATTGTATTTGTTCATTTTGTAATGTTTCCATAATATATATATTGATCTTTCATCTCAATTGAATAAATGATTATATTGTAATATACATGTGCTGTATACTTATCTTTAGATTGTATTTATTTTTTCTGTAGAGTTGGAGACAATGGTTCCCAAAGTTTAATGGGAGAGAAAAAAAAAAGATTGAAAGAGATAGACAGAGATAAATAGAAAGACAACTAAAACAGAATAGTTTTGAAGATATATATACTCCAGGTAATAATAGTAGTGATGTTGAAAGTGATGATGATGATGTTGTTTCACTGTCGTACTGAAGGGGAGTTCGGGGGCAGTTGACCCCCCCCCCCAATAAAATTCAAGCATGGTTCGTTTCTAATTCAATACCAGTGATTTCCAAATGTTGTTGAAATGTCCTGATTTTCCGGGTTTTTTTCTCTCATTTTTGCCCAGTATGCCAGAGGCATACTGGGCCCCTTTTCCTTTCTAATAAGTACCATATTTCCTTCGGATAAGTGCCCCTTTTCATTTTTTTATATCAGCCCCTCCCCCTTTTAACATCTGATAAATGCCCCTTTCAAAATCTGATAGGTGCCCTTCTCCTCCCAACAGATTCCTCATTTCCATTCTCACAAGTGCCTCTTTTCATTTCTGGTAAGTGTACCTTTTCAGGTGCTAGAAGTGCCATTTTTACCTCTGAAGGCTCTGATAATTGCCCTTTTTACTTTGACACGAGCACTTTTTCTTTTTGAATAACTTTCATTTTCCCTTTTGATAAGAGCCTAATTTTCCTTTCTCTATAACATGAACCCCTAATTCAAGGCGACTTAGAGCCCCTTTCTTCTTTAATTCTCCATAGACCTCGCTCGCTCGCATTTATAGATGGTATAATTATATTACTTATAAAATTCTTTCTTCGTTAGATTGTGCTTAATACTAGTCAGATTTTTTTTTTGGTCTTCTTTATGAGATGTAAGTTTTTGGACTGGGACCTCGCAAATCTTTAAATGCAAAGTATGTTGCTTAATTAAACAGTATCTTGTATCATGCACGTAAAGGAAGAAACAAATATTGATATCATCCCTGGCAGTGTAATCACAATCGTGACGATGTAGGGGTATATGCCAATGTCTAAAAAATGTGTAGGTTTTGTTGATGTTTCCCTTTTGTACTTAATGGCCCTTTCCCCAGTAAGTGCCCTTTTTGTTGATGCCCCCTCCCTACTTTTGGAAGACTAGGCGCCATTCATGCGACTGGTTGCTCTCACCATTGGTCTCTACTATCTCAATTATGCTCTTTAGATAATATTTTTTCCTTCAATAATGAACTATCAAAAAAGGTAAATTCTGTAGATTTGTGACCATGATTAATACGTCCCTTGAGAGACAAATGCCAGTAAATGGTGAGAGCAAACAGTGGCATGAACGGCCTGCTATAGTTAAGTCCAACTTAAAGTTATTCTTAGTCTTTGTGAAACACTTCCAATGTCCTCCTCCCGGTTGTTTCTTCCCTATTTGGTCTAGTACCTTCTACTTTTCCTTCTAACATATCCTTCAAGAGACTCTGATTTTTTTCAATATGACCAAAATGTTTCGCCTTTCTTTCTTTCACTTTTTTTTTACAAGGATATCTTATTTAAGCCCCGCCATATGCAATATTTCTATTTCAGTGTTCAAATCTTTCCACGATATTCTCATCGTTCTCTTGTACCCCCAAATTTCAAATAATGTGATTTTCTTTTCCATAGCCTTGGTTTATGTCCGTATTTTCTGCTCCATACAATAGAAAAGACCAGGCATAACAATTTATCAGTCTCATTCTAAGTTCAAATTTCACTTGTCTTGCTGTAAATAAGTCTTTCTTGCCAGAAATGTATTCTGTGCGATTTCAATCCTACGAAAGACCATTAGTGCCACGAAGAAAAAAAAACACACTTTCTACTAATCTGTTTAAACAGATTACGATATTTCTTCTAATCTGTTTAAACAGATTATAATCTGTTTAAACAGATTACGGTATTTCTACTAATCTGTTTAAACAGATTACGGTATTTCTACTAATCTGTTTAAACAGATTACGATATTTCTTCTAATCTGTTTAAACAGATTATAATCTGTTTAAACAGATTACGGTATTTCTACTAATCTGTTTAAACAGATTACGGTATTTCTACTAATCTGTTTAAACAGATTACAGTACTTCAACTAATCTGTTTAAACAGATTATAATCTGTTTAAACAGATTACGGTATTTCTACTAATCTGTTATAACAGATTACGATATTTCTTCTAATCTGTTTAAACAGATTATAATCTGTTTAAACAGATTACGGTATTTCCACTAATCTGTTATAACAGATTACGATATTTCTTCTAATCTGTTTAAACAGATTATAATCTGTTTAAACAGATTACGGTATTTCCACTAATCTGTTATAACAGATTACGATATTTCTTCTAATCTGTTTAAACAGATTACATTACTTCAACTAATCTGTTTAAACAGATTACGGATCCTACTTTTGTCACTTCCCCTGGCCTGCGCTGCGCGCGCGGCCCACGTACGTTTCTCATAGACTCGCGTACGTGCGCTTAGTGGGCGATGCCATGCTTGCTATGACGTCACTCGTAAACAGTTAAAATGCAAAGCCGAACATAACATTATGCTAATATAATTACCTCACTCTTTACCCCCTAACCAATCAAATACAAGTAAAAATATGGAAAGAAAAGTTCCCCTACCCCCAAATGAATATTCATATTGCCAATTTGATACATAGTTTTCAAATAATCATTGAAGATAACTTGACGTATATTCAAATTTTAATGGACCATAATTTTGGCAAAAATCACGGAAATTTACATTTTGTTGTAAGGTTGTAGCAAATTTATTATAAACTCTTCATCTCAATTTTTGTGTGACGTAATATTTTTAAAGCATATGAATGAGGATGTTTCCTGAAATAGTCCATTGACCTTATTTTCGTTCCAGTTTTTTTTGGCATTATGGCTTAAGTTTGAACACGAGAGACTTTGAGGTATTTTTTAATTCATCGGCGCTAAGCGCATTTCGAGGCCGTGCGCGTCGGGGTGGAGATTTTGTCCCGCATTGTATCAAGGATGCGTGATTTGCGTGCTTTTGATAGCTAGCATGCCATTGTGTATACAGCAGCGGTAAGTGAATCCAAGTCGGTCATATTCATATTGATCCTGAAAGGCCTAGTTAGATCTACAGTTGACCGAGAACATCTCATTATAGCTATAGACTAATAGACTTTAGAAGATAGTCTCTAGATTTTGTTGTTTTTTCTTTAATTTATTAAACTTTGCTTGGCCTTGGTGATTGTCAACTGGGCACAAAATCAAAAGTTGTATTTGATTTAACATAGTCTAGACCCCTGCAAGTTGTGGAATTTGTTTCTGCATGAGAAAATAATAATAGATCCTATTCCTAGTCTAGATTTAAACCTAGTTATAGATCTCGTCTCTAGATCTAGAGTGGAGCTAAAGAGTAAAGTCTTGACTCTAGTGGAAAATATAAATTAAAGCCATGATTATCAATTTATTGCGCAGACTCCTCGAAGAAAAAAAATTCTTGCGAGATTATGAGAAATCTAGACTCTATAGTCTAGATCCTATCTAGTTTTTTTTTTCATGAAGTAATGGATCTACCTGAAAGGTGCGAACTAAATTCATCATTTTCCAACATAAAAATTGTCTAGCATTTTGTAGCAAGTAGAGTAAAGGAGCCCGTAATCGGCCAGCTCCCGTTTTCGGCCGATTGGTTGGATACAAGGTAAAATCACTCTAAAATACATCGCATAATAGCATAACACATATCCCACACATACCATACCATGCCAGTGTCACTGAAGAACCACATTTGCAATGGAAAATATATCCTAAAATATCACATTTTAGCGATGTAATCGCCGGTCCCGCTACCCAAATCTGAAAAATCGAGTATCTTACGCGTGTCTGTAAGAAATATGGGTACCATAAAATGAGCTTTATTTCAAGTATTTTTCAGATTTAAAGCCCGATTTTGTGCTAGTCGCAAGCTCAAAAGTATGTCATCGCATGTATTAAATCAATGCAGCCGCACACCGCGACGCACACACGATATCTCTATCTAATTCAGATTCCAACCTCCGATCACCGCTGTGCCCGTCTTCGGCCAGGCGAGCACCAGGGAGCTCCGGCGTGGGATACCTGCTCCCTTTGCCTGCTCCGCCCGCTTGTGCTGTACATCAGCGCGGAAACGCACGGCGCGCGCGAGCGCTTCCTATTGACTTTGTACATGCGGCCGTAAACTGAAACGCTCGGCCGATAACGGGCTCCAAAACAGTGAAAATTGAAATGGATATTGTCATGGCAATTCGTGATTTTTTTCTGGGATTCTTTTTTTGTGTAAATAATAATAATATTTGCTTCATGATTTGAACAAGAAATGATAATAAATAGGAAGTAAAGAGTCCTAAAAATAGGATTTTGTCTTAAGTGGCCGAAAACGGGCTACTTTACTCTAAAACAGTTTAAATTAGAGGCCTAAATGTGTAAAGCTATTGAGCTCTTCATGCAGCCCTTATTCAGTATGTTGATAAATAAGGAGTCTGCACAATAAATTGATAAACATGGCTTAAGATTAATTGAAGCAAAGTTTAATAAATTAAAGAAAAAACAACAAATTCTAGAGACTATCTTCTAGAGTCTATAATAGCTATAATGAGATGCTCTCGGTCAACTGTAGATCTAACTAGGCCTTTCAGGATCAATATGAATATGACCGACTAGGATTCACTTACTGCTGCTGTATACACAATGGCATGCTAGTTATCAAAAGCACGCAAATCACGCATCCTTGATACAATGCGGGACAAAATCTCCACCCCGACGCGCACGGCCTCGAAATGCGCTTAGCGCCGATGAATTAAAAAATACCTCAAAGTCTCTCGTGTTCAAACTTAGGCCATAATGCCAAAAAAAACTGGAACGAAAATAAGGTCAATGGACTATTTCAGGAAACATCCTCACTCATATGCTTTAAAAATATTACGTCACACAAAAATTGAGATGAAGAGTTTATAATAAATTTGCTACAACCTTACAACAAAATGTAAATTTCCGTGATTTTTGCCAAAATTATGGTCCATTAAAATTTGAATATACGTCAAGTTATCTTCAATGATTATTTGAAAACTATGTATCAAATTGGCAATATGAATATTCATTTGGGGGTAGGGGAACTTTTCTTTCCATATTTTTACTTGTATTTGATTGGTTAGGGGGTAAAGAGTGAGGTAATTATATTAGCATAATGTTATGTTCGGCTTTGCATTTTAACTGTTTACGAGTGACGTCATAGCAAGCATGGCATCGCCCACTAAGCGCACGTGCGCGCAGCGCAGGCCAGGGGAAGTGACAAAAGTAGGATCCGTAATCTGTTTAAACAGATTAGTTGAAGTAATGTAATCTGTTTAAACAGATTAGAAGAAATATCGTAATCTGTTATAACAGATTAGTGGAAATACCGTAATCTGTTTAAACAGATTATAATCTGTTTAAACAGATTAGAAGAAATATCGTAATCTGTTATAACAGATTAGTGGAAATACCGTAATCTGTTTAAACAGATTATAATCTGTTTAAACAGATTAGAAGAAATATCGTAATCTGTTATAACAGATTAGTAGAAATACCGTAATCGGTTTAAACAGATTATAATCTGTTTAAACAGATTAGTTGAAGTACTGTAATCTGTTTAAACAGATTAGTAGAAATACCGTAATCTGTTTAAACAGATTAGTAGAAATACCGTAATCTGTTTAAACAGATTATAATCTGTTTAAACAGATTAGAAGAAATATCGTAATCTGTTTAAACAGATTAGTAGAAATACCGTAATCTGTTTAAACAGATTAGTAGAAATACCGTAATCTGTTTAAACAGATTATAATCTGTTTAAACAGATTAGAAGAAATATCGTAATCTGTTTAAACAGATTAGTAGAAAGTGTGTTTTTTTTTCTTCGTGGCACTAATGGTCTTTCGTACAATCCTGCATTTGTTGGAAAATATGTAGTATTTGGCATGAGGGACCTTGAATCCACAAGCCTTGCTTTCAACCAAGGTCACCCCATCTTTCTATTGTGACGCCATATTCTGTTCACTCCTTTATATTCATGTCATATTTATAATGTGTGTTATGAAAGAAAGATAAATAAACTTGAAACTTGAAACTTGAAACTTGAAACTATAAAATAATACAATTAAATTGAACTCCAACGTTTCCATAAAATCCAAATAAGAAATGAATTGTATTCAACGTAACTTTATCCTCTAAAATGAAATGTTGGCCATCCGCAATAAACCTTCTAATGATTGGGCAATCCCGAAATAAATATTCTATAGATTCCTCGGACTTATAACAAACTAAACATAAGTCTAATTTCGAAATATTTGATAATTTAAGATATTTATTAACACACCAACTATACGATGTATAATCTTAAACTGAAAATAACGGATCCGTGTAGATAAACATGACCTAGCTTACATGAACTAAATTAGAACATTTTAGCCCAGTCTATGTTTGAGATATTTAACAGAGAATTCCGTTTTTCTATTGATTTAGGGGGGGGGGGGGTAAACACTTACAATACATCGACAGATCCTCGTTTCCTTCGTTATATTTGTAATCTCTTCCCCTTGTAATTATTCACCTGTTCGATTTAATGGCCATCTAGACTGTTATAACTGTTGGCGGGAGAAATGTCTATGCGGCAGGGAGATGTGACTTTTAAAGTCACATCTCCCTGGTTTAGGGGGAAATATTATTGGACGTAGAAATCTATATATAATAATTATAATAATAATAATAGTGGCTACTTGTATAGCGCACAGGTCCACCTTTCGGTGCTCATGGCGCTTAGAGAAAAGGACATGTAACAGAAAGAAAGAAAAAACACAATAAACCGAAAAACAAAATTCGAAATTCTCCTAGACATGGTAAATTAAAATATTACAATATTTACAACGAAATGAACAAATAAGTTTTCAGTTGTAATTTGAATGTTTCTGTTGACGACAGCTGGCGTATTTGTAGAGGGAGCTTATTCCAGAGTTTTGGCCCCATTGCAGAGAAAGTCCGATCGCCCCAAGCAAGTTTTATCATGGTGTATTAAGTAATAGCGTGTCTGATGAGGAGCGAAGACTAATACGTGTGGGGGTGTATTTTGAAACAGAGTTGCTCAGGTATATGTAGGGGAAGAAAGAGAGTAAACTGAATGATGAACTAATAACATAATTTAAAAAATAATCCTATTGTCAACTGGCAACCAATGGAGAGAACGGAGAATTGGTGATATTGAATCAGATTTCTTAGTGAATGTTAATAGGCGGGCTGCAGAATTTTGAAGTCGTTGAAGTTTTGTGACATCTTTTTTTGGAAGGTTACAGAACAAAGAATTTGCAAAATCTAAACGCCCCTATCGAGAATGAAAGACAAGCATATAAATTAAGCTTGCACCATTGTAAGATATATATTTCACTTTCCTGTGTTACTTTATAAAGCACTGCTGCCCGGCATTGTCTGTATATGGTTTCGGCTTAACCCTTGACTACTGTCAACCCGATGTGACTTTTAGCATTCAGAAAAGACACCACTCCCATCCATAGTAATTTCTTTACGCAATATGCACAAGGTGAATTAATATACAACACACATACTCGTGAGGACTCGTGAATGGACATGCACTTTTACGATCATCATGCATGCATGGATGCATCTCATCAAAAACTCAAAATAACAAAAGAGGTATCTTTTGTCATTGAAAATAAAAGAGAGCAAAATTCTTTGTACATGTGGCTTAGCAGCGTACACGCCCATCGTAAGCCCAGGGTATGTGAGTTAAAACACCTCCCTGGTAAGCCTTCGCTTTTATTTGCAGAGGTTAAATTACATAAAGCGTATACAAAATACTGCATAGGCATTCGCATCAGAGAGGAGGTTAGGCCCAAACAAAGTTGAAACTTTCGCGACATTGGTTTGAAGACGGTGGATTGCTTGAAGTTGGGATCGAGGTACAGACTGAAAATGGCGCGAGTGGCATTTTTTGTTGTTTTCGTGATCGTCTGCGCAGTGTCGGTTGCGTCGTCGCCGACGGAAAGGGAGATATCAGAGAAACAGGTAGGCTACCGGCACGAACCTGATGGGTTGGAAGTCCATCAGGCAAGGCAACAAATTACTATGGGCTTAGACTCTCAATAGATAGGCCATTTTAGATTACCCATGCTAATTGGATTTATAGTCCGCTTTCGGATTTAGTAGCTTTCTTCTTTCAATGTCAACGGGAAACAGAACCTAAAAACGCCCCAAATCACAACTTTAGCAGTGATAACATTAATTATAGTCATTTCATTGTAGTGTGTATGTGTATGAGTGTGTATTTATTATTTTCAAAATTCAGACTATGTGCCAACTGCCAAGTGTCATGGAATAGGGGCCGACCGGGGACTGGAACCCCTCCCTCAAAACAATCCTACGCTCCATTTTCTTCCAATTCTTTATCTCCTCGCTCTACATCTATAGAAAGAAATGGAAATCCACTCGGTTTAGGTGTTGTCTGTTGTGTCGTGTTATTATGCACAACCTTCTCCCTCCACAAATAGCAGTAACCATGGAAGAATCCTGGATCGAAGAACAGGCTTAGACCTACAACATCGTGTATTAAAGTAAAGTAAAGTAAATATGCATCTCCTGAAAGGAAAAGAAGGAGAGAAAGGGAAAGAAAGAAGAGGGAGAAGAAAAGAAAAGGGGGAAGAAGGAGTTTGGGGGCCGAAAGGGCCAGTACCTCCCAGGTTGTTGCCCCCCACCCCGATCAAAAAAATAAAAGAGAAGGAAGGGGAAAGAAAAAAGGAAAAGAGGAGATACTGGCGTACTGATAGGGGGGGGGGGGGGGAGGAGGCTTGAGGAAATCAAACAAATCAACAAGGTATCAAAATGTGTTTATCTGACAGCAGGCGCGTAGCCAGGGGGGGGGGGGGAGGGGGGGGGGTGGGTGCGGTCCTCCCAAAATCACCGGCCAAAAAAAAAAAAAGGAGAGGAGAGAAAAAGAAGAGGACGTGGGAAGAAAAAGGAGAAGATTGAGAGTAGAAAACGGAACGAAGCATCGTCTTCTTTCTCTAATAATTTAATGAATCGTAAAAGCTTCCGCGCTTCGCGCGGGAGGGGAAACACTGAATTCAAACGAGGATTAAATAGTCGAGAACTGTAAAACGAATCGTCTTGTTTCTCTAATGACTGAATGAAACGTGAAATCTTCTGCGCTTCTTGCGGAAGGGGGAAAACTAAATTCAGACGATTATTATTTTTGAGAACGGTACAACGAATCGTCTTCTTTCTCTAATGATTTAATGAATCGAAAGCTCCCGCGCTTCGCGCGGGAGTGGAAACACTGAATTCTAACGAGGATTAAATAGTCGAGAACTGTAAAACGAATCGTCTTGTTTCTCTAATGACTGAATTAAACGTGAAATCTTCTACGCTTCTTGCGGGAGGGGGGGGGGGGAAACTAAATTCAGACGATTATTATTTTCGAGAACGGTACAACGAATCGTCTTCTTTCTCTAATGATTTAATGAATCGAAAGCTTCTGCGCTTCTCGCGGGAGGGGGGGGGGAACTAAGTTCAGACGATTATTATTTCCGAGAACGGTACAACGAATCGCCTTCTTTCTCTAATGATTTAATGAATCGAAAGCTTCCGAGCTTCGCGCGGGAGGGGAAAACCTGAATTCAGACGAAGATTAAGAGTCGAGAACTGTACAGCGAATCGTCTCGTTTCTCTAATGATTGAATGAAACGTAAAAGATTCCTTGCTTTGCGCGGGAGGGGGAGGAACTAAGTTCAGATGAGGATTAAGAGACGAGAACTGTACAACGAATTGTCTTGTTTCTCTAATATAATGATTTAATGAAACGTCAAAGTTTCTGCGTTTCGCGGAGGAGGGAGGGGAAACTCGCCCCTCCCTGCACCCACCCCCCCCCGCATTACGTCACTGCTGGTCACCATTACGTAACAATATTTGGATCGCATAATTTCAAATTTGGGCCTCCCCCCCCCCCCCCCCTAAGAAATCCTGGATCCGCGCCTGGCGCTCAAATCGTGTCCATCACGTCATGACGCTGCTGCATCGAGCTTCAACATTACTACCCCAATAGCCCTTTCGCGACAATCATCCACATTTTGTATTTTTGACTCATTAGCTTTTTATTCAGCGCCCCCCTCCCCCCCCCCCCCCAAAAAAAAAAATGATACCAGGTGCATAAGAAGAAAGAGCAACATTTCTGCACCCACTGTATCCATTTCTTTTTCATGACTATGTTATATTGCGTCTGATACCAGGTATTAAAAGAAAATGAAATAAGCAATAGTTTAAGGACAACAGCGGAGAAATCATGTCCGAATTAGGACTATGCCATATTGAAAGCAGATAAAAAAAAACTAATTCTTCATTAAAAATGCACGAGAATGGACGGATTTCCGGGGATCCGTAGCTTGAAGAGGGCTTTTGTATCGTTTTCTCTTTATCTTTCCACATTATGGAAATCCATATTATCCACTAAATCGGATCACAAATGCTTTCGAGAAATCGCCTTAAGGCAATTTCAGTAGCCTTTTAATCACGTATTGAGATAGCTTATGCGGGTTCATGCAGGCATTTCTTCGCCACTCCATTTGCACTAATGTGTTTAATTCCAGAAAATAATCTTCTTGATTTCTATTTTTCATCAGATAAAGGAGAAGGGTCGCATGCTGCTCGCTAACTTCCGCCAGAAGGCAAGAACCTTGCTAACGATGAAAGTTGCCGAGTGGAAGACGGCTGACCAGATTGAAGCGAATGTCGATATCTTAGAAAGATTTCAACATGTCGAGAAGGAGGCTGAATACGAAATCAAACAGCACATTGTCGACGCGGTATGTAAAAACAAGGAGAGACTCCTCCTAGCTTCTTGGTAAAACCTGAATGGCCACACTTCTATACAGGCTGGGCACATCTATAGGATTCGGTATAAACCGGAGGTGGGGCTGGGAGCACAATGCTAGCAGAGCTATAAGAAATAAAAACAAAACTAGATAAAACAAAACAAAATATATCTTATTTAATTTTAAGGAACGCATGTGTCGGACGTGCCCCTTAATTCCCTCAGTATCCTTATCCGTATCATTCTTTTTGAAAATGTTCATAAAAGGGCAATTCAACCTTTTGTAATACGTTCATTTGCATGAAAACAGAAAACAGAGAAATAAGATAACAGAGAAATAAGATGGCAAAGCTAAAAGAAATAGAAACAAAAAAATAGGCATATCTTAAGGAGCACACAGGTCGGACGTGCCCCTTAATCCCGTCAGAACCTTATCCTTGTCATTATTTTAGACTGAAGATGTCATTTAAAGGAAAAGACCAGTATTGGAAACGCCCCAATTTCAAAAAAATGAAATGGAAGCTCTCATTACCAATCATGTGAAAGAATATGTTTTGACTAATACATGATGATAAAAAATTTGCAGGGAAACCGCTAACTAATTCATATATTTGGTAAATTTGTTTCTCTCATGGACTGTGAGAGATATAGGGTAGTCCCATATACATCTTTTTGCGTATAGTGCTTGTAACTTTACGAAGAATGGGCCAAATTTCTTATCATTTTGATGATTCCAGAACCTTGCAGATGCTAGATGCTAGATGATCAACCTTTTCTGATCGATTCCACAACGTTTCTTTCACAATGCAATCGCATGACCATAACTGGTCTTTACCTTTAAAAGGCAATCCAACCTTTTGTAATACGTTCATTTGTATGAAAACAGAGAAATAAGATGGCAAAGCTAAAAGAAATAAAAACAAAACAAATAGGCCTATCTTAAGGAGCACACAGGTCGGACGTGCCCCTTAATCTCGTCAGACCCTTATCCTTGTCATTTTTTGTAGACTGAAGATGTCATTTAAAAGGCAATCCAACCTTTTGTAATACGTTCATTTGCATGAAAACAGAAAACAGAGAAATAGGACAGCAAAGCTATAAGAAATAAAACAAAACAAAGGAGCGCAGGTGTCGGACGTGCCCCTTAAATTCGTCAGGACCCTTCTCCTTATCATTCTTTTAGAAGATGTCCATTGAAGGGCAATCCCACCTTTGTAATACGTTCATTTGCATGACAACAAAAAACCTAGAGAAATAGGATGGCGCAATTTTGAAATAAATCGGGCAAATAATGAGAGAATTATGAATGAGATCACTGTATGCGAAGCTCATATTAATTTTATTGGCTGTAATATAATCACGGACAACATTTTCGTTTGGGGTAGAAAATATGTCATTAATTTCTGTTTTTCTCATACGTAAGTGCCTAATATTCTTGGGGCACTACTCAAAATAGGCCCTCGGAAAAGAAAGACCATCCTGTTTAATACATTTTGAAAAATTGACATTTCATGCATTATTATGAGTTTAAAAAAAAAAAAAAGTTGTCAGACGCTACATTACAGTGACTTAGGCAATTTGAAGTGCCCATGTGAATAGAGATTACTAGAATTCATATCTTCTTATATTCTTTTTGGGGTTAATCCAATTTCATTCAAACTTTGACCAGTTTGCTTTTCTGATTCAACTGCTTTCTTTTGGAGTAGGTCCTATAATAATCTACCAAGCTTGGATTTTTCTTTTAACGGTATAGCTATAGAATATTTTGAATTTGCTGGTGGTGATTATGACGGTGTGATGAAATACTACATGTAATTGCATGTACAAAGGGGTTACGAATTGTTAACATTCGGGAAAAGAAAAAGAAACATTGCATTCTTCATGTATGAACAAAAATCTTTATTATGAGTTCAAGCTGATAATGAATGACAATCTCTCTCTCTCTCTCTTTCTCTCTCTCTTTTTTTTCTCTCTCTCTCTTTCTCTCTCTCTCTCTCTTTCTCTCTCTCCCTCTCTCTCTCTCTTTCTCTCTCCCCTCTCTCTCTCTCTTCCTCGACTCTTCGGCTCTCGTTTCCGTTTTTCTCTCTCTTGTATACCTCTCTCTCTCTCTCTCCCTTTCCTCTTTCTCTCCTTTTCTTTCTCTCCTTTTCTTTCTCTTCCTCATTTTCACTTTCTCTCTCCATGTTACTCTTTCTCTCTCACTCTCCTTTCATATTTCTCTTCCTCACTATTTCTCTCTTTCTCTCTCTCTCTCTCTCCCTTCAGATCAATGGAAACGAACCCGTGGTCGATCCCGACATTCCCCCACACTCGGAGGAGATCGCAACTTTGTTCGGGGAGGCGCTCTTCGCCACTACGTATGCCGAACAGAGCAGTAAAGAAGATAGCATGATACAAATACTCAAAGATATATTAGAAAACAAACTACATTAATGATTCGATAGAACTATAGAATAAGTACGAAATTAGCCAATTCATACAAACTAACATCCTATACTATTTTAAAACTTCAAAATCAAGGTAAAGCAATTTTTTTTAAAAATTTCATTTATTGATTTTATCACGGTAAAGGTCACCGTGGATGTTCTTCTGTAAGTCTGCCGATTTGGTGGATACTAAAATGCAATATCGTGTTTTCAATGAAAAGCCAGGTCAATGAACCTAGTCTAGTTTATGACAGGTTGGTTATCACTTATGACAAGATATAAGCTAGATTAAAACAACAAATATGATTTTTTAATTTTTTTTTTTTAAATGGAAACCTATAGTTTACACCATGTCTATACCGTAGTCAAGTTTACAACCGGTCTTTAGCACGATTAAATTACGGAGTCTGGTTTTAGTGTAGGCCAACTGGTGTTTTAATATTTATTGTTTTAATATTTATTCTATATAATATTCATAGTATTACATTTGGCTATATACACTTCAGTGCAACCTTTATGTTTCTATTTTCTACGTAACACAAAGTATTGAGAAGAAAAAAAAAAAACGATCTTTTGATTATAAGACGATATAAATGACAGAAAATAGGACAAGTCGAAGATTATCAGTTTTCTTGTATTGATCAATCTATACATACATTTTACTAGATAAAACACGTGCATTTATATTTTGATAAAGGTATACCTTGGAAATCAGACTATATTTCGGGTTAATTTGAAAGTGAAAAATTAATTTTCTTGTCTCGGAAAAGTACTGTCCTTATGTACGTAAACTGCGGTATATAGATTTATTTTAATTACTTAAGTGGTTATTGTATAATGGCTTGCATTTATGTCGAAGATTATCAATGCTATTCCGTGCTATTCGATTCTGATTATTATGTTGTCAAGTTGTATCATTCTTAATGTCCAAATACAGAATATCATGAAAGCATTATTTCAAGTTTCTACCGTTGTGCCCGGTCCATATAAACATGTACCTAATTTTAAATTAATTATACATCATAATTCTTGTCATATTCAGAATGTTAGATTCTCAAGTGTGCTATTTATATTAAAGGAAACAATATTTTCGAACTTATTATTATTATTTTGCATTTATTGACAAGAGATAATTAAAAACGATATAACTTGATCTTGTTTAGCAGATAGTGTTTTATTTTCTGGCTCTCTCTCTCTCTCTCTCTCCCTCCTCTATCCAGAGGCGGCGGAGCGACTTCCAAAGTGGGGGGGGGGGGGGCACGAACAAAAAGGAGCACCTCCAAAGGGTATTCTCAAAGCGAAAATATACAATATACAATTTTTTAAACATTGGCATATAACCCTATAATTGTGATTACATTATCAGGGATGATTTCAATATTTGTTTCTCTTTATACATTGTATAATATATTGCAGTTTGGTGTGATGGTTTGAAAATTTGTTTGCGCGCGAGCAAAGCGAGCGAGGAAACAAATTGGTAACATAATTAAAGACGATATAACTTAATCTTGTTTAGCAGAATACTGTTTTCGCGCTCTCTCTCTCTCTCTCTCTCTCTCTCTCTCTCTCTCTCTCTCTCTCTCTCTCTCTCCCTCCTCTATCCAGAGGCGGCGGAGCGACTTCCAAAGTGGGGGGGGGGGGGGCATCAACAAAAAAGGGCCATTTCTGGGAAAAAAAGGGGCACCTCCAAAGGGTATTCTCAAAGCGAAAATATACAATATTTTAAACATTGGCATATACTCCTATACTTGTGATTACATTATCAGGGATTTTTTTTCAATATTTGTTTCTCTTTATACATTGTATAAGATATTGCAGTTTGGTGTGATGGTTTGAAAATTCGTTTGCTTTTAGTCGCTTGAAATTAGGGGCAGGTTTATTGATGAGTGGAAAAGGGGACACTTATCGAAAGGAATGACACGACGGGTAATTAGCAGAGTTGAAAATGGGGCACTTCTTTCACCTTAAAAAGGGGCACTCACCAGGGATGAAAAAGACCCTATGAGAATGAAAAAGGGGCACTAATAATAAAGGGAAATGTGCATTTGTTGAAAAAAAGGGGCACCGATCAGATTTTAATGGAGGCATTTACCAGAGAAGAAAAGGGGCACTTATGAGAATGAAAAGGGACTATTAGCATAGGTGAAAAGGGGCATTTATGAGAAGGGAAAGGGGCTCTTTTTTAAATGGTCACCTTTTTAAGGTCACCATTAGCATAATTTGAATTTTTTTATAAATAAAAACAAACAAACAAATACAAATTAAAGGGGGAGGGTTTCTCCAAAACACATACACAAAAAATAATTGATGGGGGTTTGACCCCCCCCCCCCCCCCCTGCGTACGCGCCTGCCACCAGAGGATTATCAGATATGGCCTTCTATTAGTCGTCTGGAGTATCGGCCCGTTCCCTCTTGACAGAGGTGGTGCTCCCTGGGGGGGGGGGGGGGGGGGGGTGCACGCGTTATGTACTCTACAAATGTCCTTATACACATAGAAAAAGTGCCCCCTTTTAATTCCGATAAGTGCCTCTTTTTCTTTCTAATTGTGCTCGTTCCGCATTCTTACACGTGCCTTCGATAGGTTCGCCTTCACCTCTGATAATTTCCCCTATTAAAATAAGACAGGTTCCCCTTTCGTTTGACAGGTGCCTATATTTCCTTTGTAATATATATCCCTTTTCATCTCTGGTGAGTGCCCATTTAATTGCTCCTATTTAAATCTGAGGTGTCGATCTTTTCCTTTGTATAATAAGTGCCCCTTTGCATCACTGATGAGTGCCCCTTTTTACCTCTGATAAGCGCCCTTTTCACCTCTGATAAGCGCCCTTTTACCTCCTTTTCTTGTATTATAAGCCCCATCAAAGTTTTTTGCTCATCACGCAACTGTTTCTATCGACCTAGCTATATCTCTTTCTCTTTCATAACCATATGGGCGTGTGTTAGTGCAAATATTTGGACTTGTACAGGCTATCAATGATACATGTATAATTATGTCTATTTACGTTTAAGGGCTTCCAAAGTCAACATCCAAAACACGTAACTAGGAATCGAGCTGGGGTCCTCTAGAGTCTGTCACACCGCGAGACCAACGCCAGACAGAGCGAAAAATTCCATTATCACCAATAGCCAAGACTTTGTCTGTTTGTCGGCAGTATTGCGTCAGCTTGTTCGTGTGACTGAGGCCCGGGACTTGAGGTCTAACATTCACTCTCTCTCTTTCATGTGTTCTATATATTCTATCGTTTATCTCCTCCATCCACTCGACCTTTAATTGATCCTTCCTCTCTTTCACTATCCTCTCTCAGGTGCCTCCCAGGCTATTTTGAATGGTGTGTGTGTGTGTGTGGTTGGGGGAGGTCGGACTAAATTATACCGACTATGGTTAGCTGAAAACAAGCAAAGAAACTACGTCTCCGGCAACGCATTCAGCGGGCGGAGGCAAAAAAAAATAGTCTTCAGATTCAAATCGATGACAAACGCAAATATACTAAACGGTGAGGGGTGGTTACATCCATTTAATACCCCCTCCCGAGACGTCTCTGTGTGAATGTTAACGGCCCAGGTTAAAGGTAATACAAAGTTTCGGTATGGGGTCATGAAATTTGTTCAAATGAACATATTATGCGATCCTACTATATTCAGTATTCAGTGATCGTTGTCGAGGTTAAAATCGAGTCTAGCTCCCTCGTAAGGTCAAGATATTAATTAAGCTATAAAAACAATGTTTCTTGACTAAAATCGACCGATTAGCTATTCCCGTTTGGAAATTATATATCACAACTACATATTCTGAGATTGTCATGGTCGCAGCTACCATTGTATGGCCGTGTTTTCGGGGGTACATTTTCTAGTGCTTACTAATCATTCACAGGGGCATCCAATTATATCAAAATTGTAAAGAATCACTATCCAGCCAATTTTCAAATTTCCCAAAACTTTATATTACCTTTATTTTAATGTGCCCTCATCCCTCACGATGGGCTTCACTCTTTATCTTTCACTGTGCCCTGACAAAAGACTCCAGTTTAGTTTGTGCTGTATTCTCATTTCCCACGGCGTCTTTCCCTCTCCCTCCTCTCTCTAACTGTATCAGCATCCGAGACCCTGTACTACAATTTCAATCACTTTTATATTTACCTTGCTCCTTTCGTTCCATTCATTATCTTATGAGCATCCCGCTCCATCCCACAATTTCACAATAGTCATCTTTCTGTTCGGTTGTTCTCCTTCCTCTTCCTCCCCCCCCCCCCTAGAGATATTCACGTTCGCCACATTGTAATTATTCTCTTTCCTCTTTCTCTCTCATCACCTGTCAAAAACAACTATTCACTCTCATTTTCCTGTAGATCTCAATTAATTTGGGTATCACTTCATTGGCTCTTTTTGCCATTCCTCTAAATGTAACATCTTTGACAACAAATAACATGATATGTATATAACTTCAAGTCTGAGTGTAAATAACTTTATTTTGTAGAAAAACAAACAATTTACATAGAAATTAAAAATGTATATAACAAATAAAAAAATACATTTGCATGGAACTTAAGGCAGGAGGTACACAGATAATGCAAACAAAAATGGTCCAAAAAATCATTTATTAAATTTTTATTCCATTTGATTCAGTAATATTTACTCAAGCTAAATCCTGAGTTTGGGGCAAAAAACTGCACTAAAAATACCTTGATTAGTTGTTCAAAGACATTTAATTTGTCTAAATAAATGACCTTTAGGCGCTTGAAAAGTACAATCAAAAGTAAATCTTCAAAATGGCATAATTTCTTAATTTTTCAATCAATTTTTTAGAGTAAGATATCAATCTAAAGATCTCTTCCTGCTCCACAAGAATCACTCAATGTAAAGGTGTTTGCTGCCATCTGTAGGTGAGGGTTGTACAACATTTTTTTTACTCCACTAAGTCAGCCCATGCTATCTTTCCACACACAATTTTGTATTCGCTAAAATGGGTCGAAAAGGTCCAAAATACGTCAAAAAGAGGAAGGGTTTTCATGGAACCAGATGGCAAGACTGGAAAAAAGCCAGGATTGATGAAGAACCTAGTCCTCCAAAGCAGACAGCCTCTGAAAGAAAGCTGAAGCTCTAAGGGAATGGGCATAAAGTATGTAAAATAGAATGTGTAGGACATGTAGGGAAGAGGATGTATAAGGCTTTAGACAACTTTACTGTCTCATCAATACTGTCCCGACAATGGGTGGTGCGAGTACAAAAATAAGGGCAAAATGGATAACAGCGAGAATCACTTAGACCCTGTGTTTCTCAAGTATCTACTGCCTATATTCACGCGACTCAGTGCTCCAGACCTCCTTGAGAGATGCCTCCCAGGTATCACCCAGAACCAGAATGAGAGCTTCAATGCTCTCATCTGGAAACGGTGCCCTAAACACCTGTGGAGAGGTCCACGTGTTGTCCGCATCGCAGTCAACATGGCTGTGATTGCATTCAACTGTGGCGCAGAGCAAAGTCGCAACAGGATTTTTAATACGTTAAATCTTACAATGTATGATCACACCTTGTCATTGCTCTTTCGTTCAACTGTGGCGCAGAGAATGGTCGCTACAGAACTTTCAAACACCTAAATCTCAGAATGGGAGCCCATGCCACTCGTGAGAGGAAAAAGGGATTACGGAAGAATTAATAATGCAAAATGGCTCTCCACTTTAACCGTTACTAGAGTGGTTGAGGTAGGAAAAAGCCCACCGACTTTTTTCCAATCTGCAGAATCACAAGACTTCACATGATGAAAAAAGAAAACGATTCATGAAAGCAGTGAAAAAACAAAAACGATGTTCAAAAACAGAAATATTTTTTAATTTTCTGTGTTTTCAATATAATACATAATCATATACTGTACAGAAATAAACATATTTCAATGAAAAGAGAAAGTGTTGTTCCACAACATTGGAATGTATTGGAAATGCTGAACATTTTCTAGAGGTTGGTATCTGAGATGGGACTATCCAGTATAAATGGCCTTTGTGGAGGGCGTGATGCATGTGGCACCTGTTGAGGGATACTTGTGTTTTACACTTGAAAAATTATGTGACAATATTCTTTAAGTGTATAAGATCACTGGATTCATAATTTTGTCCTCGAGATAAATACCTTAATCATGAGACACAGCCTCATACGGGACCTCGGCCAGTACTCGCCCAACCTTAATCTAGCAAAAGACAATATCGAGATTCACGGGACACAGCCTCATACGAGACCTTGGCCAGTACTCCCCCAACCTTAATCTAGCAAAAGACAATATTGAGATTCACTGGACACAGCCTCATACGAGACCTTGGCCAGTACTCACCCAACCTTAATCTAGCAAAAGACAATGAGATTCACTGGACACAGCCTCATACGAGACCTTGGCCAGTACTCACCCAACCTTAATCTAGCAAAAGACAATATCGAGATTCACGGGTTCCCTGGAGCAACGGTAGGTTCCCTCATTAACAGATTGCATTCTTTATCAATTTTTAAGTACCAGTGCGTCATTTTCCAAATTGGAGGCAATGACATCTCTGCCCCACACTCGCCCCTGACAAGGTTATGAGGGACATCCATCACCTAACAGACAGTGTTAGGTACCTGAACCCACAAGCCCATATCACGTTCATGGAGTTACTTCCCTGCAAAAAGACTAGACCTCACATAGATGACGTCCACATTGATGTTTATAATTCTAGGATAGATCAACTAAATAATTTGCTAAGAGAATTCCTCCCTACTATCCACACAAACTTCAGGCAACATTCCCAGGACATTAAAGACCCATGTAAGTTTTACAAGGAGGATGGCAGGGATTCACTTTGCCAATCTACCTCCATACTTTAAGTCTGTTAGAGGATGCACTATATTGACCCTAAAAACGTCTCCAAGTAGGCAAAATGGTACTGGCCCATGAGACGGCAGGTTGGGATTAGGGCAGAGCCTAACATTTTCAGCTTTTAAAGTGAAAAAATGACTTTCTGCCCGGAGGAAAGTTCGGTAAAAAGCCAAGTGATGAAATAAGATCACGAATGAAGAGCTGCAAACTCACTTATCTAGTATCGGAATCAACATTTGGAGATCTAGACTTTCTTAGTCAGTTCCGTAGAAGACGTGGGGATGAGTTTGTAAACATCAAAAAACAAAAACGGACAATTATAATGGCGTCAGATTCGGATACTAGTTCAAGCGAGGATGAAAATCCATTCATCTTTCTCGACTCCTTCATCGATATACCTTACTGAAAGGGGTGCGCTCAAATTGCTCGGTTTAAAAGAGAGGGAGTAACCAGGTGGTAGGTGGAAGGGTGGGATGTTAATATCCAACCTTGCTTGTTTTTCTCGTTTCGATCAGAAGGAAAGGGTCACTCTAGCCCTATGCGGAAGTGGGGTAAAGGAAGCCCCAAAACATGGACTCCAAACTCTAAAGATGGATGAGTTTGTAAACATCATCAGAAAACAAAAACAGACAGTTATAATGGTGTCAGATTCGGATACTAGTTCAAGCGAGGATGAAAATCCATTCGTCTTTCTTACTAAGAGGGAAAGCAAAATACAAAAAGTTTTACTGTCAAATTGCTCGGTTCGTTAGAAGAGGTGGGAGATATCACTAAGATACATGAAAAAAATGTTGACGGTTCCTTAACAGAGATGTAGCAAGGTTTTCCATCTTTGACGGTATCTTATCGACAACACACGCAGAACCAAAATACACCAAGGTATTCATTACGAGTACAGTGTTTGATTCCAAAGTATATGTACATATACGTAACTTAATTAGAAAGAGAAACGTCAGCGCTGATAATTATTTTTCAACAACAATAGGTGTCAGTTTCGAGACAATCGAGTTCAGGAAACTCATCGCTCACGGAAATGATATACTAAAGCATATATCCAGAGCAAAGAGATGTTGCCAGGATGATGGCGTTGGTGACACCATGGGTAAACTGTTAGAGCTCCTAACTTACTGCATACAGAATATATCACTGACCCATACATCTTCTCATTTCTTGCTTTTTTGTCTTCTTCCCTTTATCCTAATGTTTTATGTAATATATGAATGTATTATTTATTTATTCATTCCTTTTATGCAATTGATATTTTGATATGATTGTATTTATATTTTATATAAGTTGTGTTCTTTTATGTAATATGATTCACCTGGAAGTACAGCTTCTTTTGTTTTGGAAGAAGACAATAAATGATATATTCTATATATTCTATTCTTCTTCGAAAAGATGAGTGATTTGATGTTAACTATCAAGGATGTCCATTTTGTGTCGGATCAGAAAATTTGTATTAAATAATCGTATGTGGAAGAATTAAAACGCCATGTGTTGTATTATGAACAATTATAATGGTGTCAGATTCGGATACTAGTTCAAGCGAGGATGAAAATCCATACGTCTTTCTTACTAAGAGGGAAAGCAAAATAGAAAAAGTTTTACTGTCAGATTGTGAAAGTTTGGACAGTTCTGATGTTGAGCTACTGGGTGGATATGTCACAGGTAGTGAAATATCAGATTGGGAAACTGAGGAGACATAATCTTATAGAGCAGGGGTTGGTCTTTTTGTTATCTCCTACGCAAATGAAGTATTCGTTCACTTACGTCAATTCGATAGAGTAGATGGTGAATTAAAGTGGACTCCCTTATGATTATCGATATACCTTACTGAAAGGGGTGCGCTCAAATCGCTCGGTTCATTAGAAGAGGTGGTAAATATCACTAAGATACATGAAAAAAATGTTGACCGGTTCCTTAACAGAGATGAAGCAAGGTTTTCTTTTATCTTTGACGGTATGATCGTACCGACGACACAAGCAGAACCGAAATATACCAATGTATTCATTACGAGTACAGTGTTTGATTCCAAAGTATATATACATGTACGTAACTTTATTAGAAAGAGAAAGGTCAGCGCTGATAATTATTTTCCAACAACAATTGGGGTAAGTTTCGAGACTATCGAGTTCAGGGAACTACTCAGTCATGGAAATGACCTCAAACAACAAACGTCTAGAGTTAACAGAGATGTAGCGAGGCTTTCCTTCTTTGACGGTATCTTACTGACAACACATGCAGAACCAAAATACACCAAGGTATTCATTACGAGTACAGTGTTTGATTCCAAAGTATATGTACATATACGTAACTTAATTAGAAAGAGAAACGTCAGCGCTGATAATTACAGGCCTTAAATTTCGTCATTTTTAGGGCAAGGCCAGTTTGGCCTTGAGTACCTCATATTTTTAAGGGCACCAAGGCCAAAATATTTTTACAAAAAGGGCATCGAGGCCAAAATATTTTACAAAAAGGGCATCGAGTATGAGGCCAAAAAAATTGATTCTATTTTTGTTAGATGTCATGTGTATTTTATGAAACTTGTGCGGGATCAATTTCCCATGACTTTAGCACCAGCTTCTTCACAGAATGTATAGAGGTCTACGGTACATACAAACAAGGCGGCGGCCCGCAAGCCTTAGATTTAGCAGCCAGGAGCAAGTGGCATTTTTTTAAAAAGTTGCCCTTTGCCACGGGAATTTACCAGAGCAAGGGGCAATTTTCCAAAAACAGATAGGCCCCTTATCTAATCATAAGTTCAAAGAGAGTCTACAAATGTTAATTTCATAATGTGAATAGATCGATCATCGAACGATCAATTTAATAACTTTTTAATCTTAACAATATGAACAGGAAAAATTGATTAAGAACATCAAACTTGCACATTAAACAGTATTTTAAAGTAACTAAAAATATTGATGAGCAAATGAATAAATAAATTGTCAATTTCACAAACATCGAAAGTCAGAAGGACTTGGCAAGTTAACCGGGCCGGGTATCCCAAATCAAAATCGCACCTCACACACAAACCTTCCGCCACTCTCTCGGTAGTAGGAGCAAATTTGAAGAAATTATCTTTTTAACTGTTGTATAGAAAGGTCTAGATAGGCCTAACTAATGAAATAAGATGTAAAAATGTCCTTATAGACATTCGACAGCTGAAAGTGACACGCTCAGCTCAGTTGCGTAACGTGCATTCACGAAACCAAAATCGTTCCTCGCACACACTCTCGCCACTTTTGGTGGGAAGCTGTCGGGCTGGAAGTTTGCCAGCGAAACCGATGCACCCTCGGAATTTTACCGGGACTCGAAACGTTCGTCTTGGGAAGCTGGCGGGGTAGCTTTTTGAAGCGACGTCGGCTGGTGGCAAAATGAGAGTAACTACGATCGAGAACATCGTAGGTGTTCTTAACTTATTAATAAGATAATTCTAAATTCTATTTGAGATAAAATAATAAACTAGACCTACAAACAAACCTCGACAGATCTCTAATGACTATTTGAATGCTTGTTTATTTCTCCATTTGACGATTTGTTTTCTTGATCCTGGCCGGCCTGGCCTTCGATTTGTACGTACGCACGTGCGTGCGTCAACAGCATGCACCATAATTATGCATATCATGCGATCGCATGATCTGAACGTACGTGCGCTAGCGCATTGCCTATATAATAACAAAGGGCGCATTTTCACGGCACTTACGCCTTATTAAAGCACTAAATACGAAGCTAGAAGAGAGCTCGTGGGCGGCAAACTGTTCGTGATTCGTGTATTTTTACTGTTCTAATAATTTATGGGCGCATTTTCACGGAAAACACTTGCGCCTTGCCGTCTAGTTTTAGATGATTATGGGCGCAATTGGTGGTTTTATGTGCGCAAATTTAAAAAAAAAAGGGCACGTCGAGTTGGAAAAAAAGGCACGTCGGCCAGTTTGAAAAAAAGGGCACGGCCTTTTTGGCCGTGAATTTATCTTTTTTGGGGAGGGCACCGCGGCCAGTCATAGGGGCATCGACGGCCTGGCCGTCGATGGCCGTCGATTAATTTAAGGCCTGTAATTATTTTTCAACAATAGGTGTCAGTTTCAAGACAATCAAGTTCAGGGAACTCATCGCTCACGGAAATGATATACTAAAGCATATATCCAGAGCAAAGAGATGTTGCCAGGATGATGGCGTTGGTGACACCATGGGTAAACTGTTAAAGCTCCTAACTTACTGCATACAAAATATATTACTGACCCATACATCTTCTCATTTCTTCCTTTTTTGTCTTCTTCCCTTTATCCTAATGTTTTATGTAATATATGAATGTATTATTTATTTATTCATTCCTTTTATGCAATTGATATTTTGATATGATTGTATTTATATTTTGTATAAGTTGTGTTATTTTATGTAATATGATTCACCTGGAAGTAAAGCTTCTTTTGTTTTGGAAGAAGACAATAAATGATATATTCTATATATTCTATTCTTCTTCGAAAAGATGAGTGATTAGACGTTAACTATCAAGGATGTCCATTTTGTGTCGGATCAGAAAATTTGTATTCAATATTCGTTTTTGGTAGAATTACAATGTAATGTGTTGTATTATGACACAGACTTCCATCATCTATCCTGACGATGGAACTGTGCCTACTGTAGCGATGGCGAACTATCCTGGTGATATGACTGATGAACTTGAAAAAGATTTTGGTTCTGGAGGTCATATCACCAGGTTTGTCAGTGGTGGACCAAAACAATAGTTATCAGGTGTGGTCCACCAAACAGAAAGAGGTTCTCAGTACATGTAAATCTTGTATTTTGTATTATAATTTCACGTTTATATTTTGTATGTATGTATGTTTATATTTTGTATGTATACATGTATGTTTATATTTTGGATGTATGTATGTTTATATTTTGTATGTGTGTATGTATGTTTATATTTTGTATGTATGTATGTATGTATGTTTATATTTTGTATGTATGTATGTATGGTTATATTTCGTATGTATGTATGTATGTATGTTTATATTTTGTATGTATGTATGTATGTTTATATTTTGTATGTGTGTTACAAATTATAGAGCTCTATAAATTGAAATTTATTATATTGTGATGAATATATGAAAATTACCTTTCTCTTTGATATATTCAATAATTGTGATTATTGGGACCATTATAAATTTAAAATGTCTTTCATAATCGTTAATGATTTGTTCCATGTTTGAATGGATTTGCTCTGAATGAGTGACTAGTTTTACAAGAAGCATGTGCTCTCTTTGAAATACATTGCTTGATTTATGTTCTGAGTTTCTAGAAGTGTGTTTAAATAAGTTTTAAGTAATAAAGGGAAAAGACATCCCTAGATACCCATATATACAACGAGTAATAGTCTTAGATGGAATGAGCTTGAGTGCTTTTGATTGTGGAACTGTATGTTCTGTGATATGTTCTCGGTGTTCGTAGTATGATTGAATTGTTTGTTTACGTGATGTACTTGGTGTGTGTAATGTTTGTGTGAATTTTGTGGTAACCGACAGAGAAAGGGTGAACCATTTGCATGGGTCCTAATGAAAGAAAAGTTCCCTTTATATGCAATTATTGATTAGACTTCTGTTGCGTATGGATAACTGTTTGGACATATTTAATGATCCTCACACCACGTGTAAAACGTCGGTGCTACATTTACATATGCAAATTTGCCTAGGATTGTTCTAAAATGAAAGAGTGAGAGGGGTAACCTTGTTATTTTATGGTTCTATGGATCAATGCGGTCAGAATGGTATATATGAAGAGAAATTTTTGAAGTAATTTTGATTGTGATATATTAAGTTCTAAATGGATACCCATTCGTCAGAGTGTAGAAAGTTTGGATAGGAAAAAAACCCGGAATGTTCCACGTAGTGAAGGGACAGTGTCTCATTTACGTCTCTGAATATTGACATGGGACTATAGTTTAAATGATTATTGAGATATCATTATACAAATATGTGGAAGATGTTTTTATTACATACAATGTCATTTTTGTGTGATTATCTTCTTCTCTGTGAAGATAATTTTGCCATTGTTAAGGAATGAATCTAGATATGGTTAACCTATTTGAGAGAGAGATATTGCTCTTTGGTTTCCTAACTGATTATCTGTCCCAAATGCGGTCATATCTCATGTCTAGCCATTTTAAATTTCATTTCTGTGGCCAGTTTAATATCGAACTAGGAGTATGACTGGTAAGAAATGTTTCATTGCGATAACACTTGTTGTCTCGATTTCTCCATAGAACATGAATTTTTGGAAGAGAAGCTCAGAGTCAAGCGAGAGGTTTTTTTAAAGTCCAGATTGGTTACTTTTTACACATTACCCCACAACTTACTTGGTACAAATTACCTGATGGATAATATTGAAATACAAACAGATATGAAAGATTCCTTTGCGTGGGAGGACGCCAGTATTGATCATGGTAACGTAGAAGATGAGGGCACACCCTCAAATAGCAATAATATAGCTATGGTTAAAAGGAAGGCGGATGTCTATGAACGCTCATCCTGTGTACGGAACTTTGTTTCCCTCAAGGCTATTGGTAGGCATCAGGAAACCCACAATAAATGGTGATTTTTTTATGCACCAAATGCCAACACACTTTTGAGAAAGCACATGGACTAGTGTGCCACATCCCCAAATGCTCAGGGGACGTGGACACCCCAATGTTAAATAGACTACCTCTCGGCAGCAGAGAGTGTGGTCTAGCGTTTAGAACTTTCATTTTTAGTTAACTTTGATTATCCCGCAATTTTGTTAAATTACCCCAACAGTCCTTTTTAGGACTACCTCAACTCTACATCGGAAGTACCCACTTTACATTTGGTGAACTTTGTGTATCGGCAGTTTGTTTGCACTTGGATTATATGGAGCCTGTACCCGAAGATGTTAGGGCCAGGATTGCGAACCATCCTCGAATTGGTGGCGACAAGACCTGTGTAAGGTCATGGATGACACTCCCCCACCAGAGGTAAATCTGTTTTCCTCACTATTTGTTTAATCAATTTACTTTCAGGAGCTGCATTTGGTTACAAGATCCAAGAAGTCAATGACAAGCTGTCAACATACATGCTATTTTAATTATATTTGATTTTCTTTTATAGTGTCCGTTTTTTTAAAAATATTGATTGATATGATTTCTATTATAATTAATCTATAATTTTTTTTTTTTTACTCTATTTTATTAGAACGAAATGAGGGCTGTCTCAGCACGAGCGACATAGACACCCGTCTGCATGTCTGAGCACTAAAAGGGCGAGATAAGATGAAAGTGCAAGAAAACAAACGAGAAACACGAGGGACATTTGGACAGAAGAAGAAGTC